TTGTGTGCTGTTATTGTTTGATACTTTAAAAGAAAAAAAAACATACTTTTATATAAATATGTATGCATGTGTGTATTCTTTTAAAAATAAAATAGTAAATAAAATGCACAATAGAATTTATATCCATATATAAAATCACGTTTATTTGCTATTTTTATTTTCAAAAAATATATACACGTACGTATATGTATGTATACTTTCTCTTTGAATAAAAAATATAATATAGAATTTTACGGTATTGTAATTCCTTTTAATTAACGATATGTAGTTTTTCAAAAACGATCTACACTGGCCAATGTTTTTAGTAAAAAAACAAACGACGTTTCGGTCCCGGATTTAGACCCTTTTCAAGTAGTCTGCGAACGTACATAACTTAGCACTCAATATTTTATTTAATATAAAGTAGATAAGGGGGGGGGGAGTAATTATAGCGAAAGTAAATTGTAAATCTGTACCCGCTCACACAATTGTTATCGATCTCATATCGTTCGTTTGGCTAATATCATTATCCTTTTAATTAATTACATGTAGCGTTAATTGTACCAACTCTTTCTCTCTCTCTCTCTCTCTCTCTCTCTCTCTCTCTCTCTCTCTCTCTCTCTTTCTCTTTGTAAAATAATACTCGTCAGTCCTTATCATCACGATGAACCTGCCGAAGAATTCAAGCGATACCCTTCGGTGACGGCGAAGGGGCGTCCCTCTACCGCGCGTACCCTCCTTCCGTCCCCATCGCGAATAACAAAGGATATACTTTTTTTTTTGCACGATTAGTGCACGTGCGAGACGTATACTTAACACCACCACCACCGGCGTCGGCTCCGACACACGTCGAGTTCCCGGGAAGAAAGGCGATAGCCGTCGCGGATCCAATTTTGTAGATAGATCGAGTTTCGTGCCCTACGCCGTGCGTGTTAGTATAATATAATAATAGAGTCGCGGGGCGCGCGACGGGGGGGGGGGGCAGAGGGAGGGGACGGGGGCGAGAACGATAAGAAGACGCGCGTCTCTCGCGTGAGATCCTTCCGAGAAGATCGTCCGTTTTCGTCCGCGCGGCTGATTCATCCCCGCGAGAAGATCGCGGGATTATCGCAGGCGGCGGGAAATATGCAGAGAGTAGGCGGATTGTTAGCGGAATCAACCGCGGGAATTGATTCCGCGAAATTGAATACGCGATTCCCGGGACGAGAGTCTCCGTTTGGAGACATTATTATTCGCCGCGCGTTCTCCCACCTTTCTCGCTTTTTAGCGGGATTAAAAAAGGAACAGTTAGCAGCCCATTTTGGTGCCGACAATTAGCAATCGAATTATTTGGATTATTCGTAACTCTACTCTGGGAAAAATTTTGACCGTATGTTTTTCGTAGTTAAGCAACTTAACATTTTGATTAGTGCCTCTTAAGTGAAACTTATCCCTGCGCTGCTGAATATCGACAGAACTAATTGAGAGAATCGATTGGTATTACTTTAAAATCTTAGATCTAGAATAGCTAATTGCGACTTTTAGTTACGCGAGGTAAATTCGTAAAAGATTAGAGTTACGAACAATTCAAATAATTCGATTACTAATTGTGGGTCCCAAAATGGGTTGCTGTCTTTATTTTCCCCCAGAGCGGCCGTGGCGACGTAGAAATAACATGTCTTCGATTTAAAAAAAAAACAATGTCGCGCCTGTAAAATAGTATTCGAGGATCAGATAATCCTACAATCAGAATTGACGATTCTCCTAGTTTTTCGCGAACGTTTAGTATTTAATCTCACAGAAACTTTCATTTTTACGTTTTTACCTCTTTACTTTAATAACTGGAAGAGAGAGATAAGAGCTTGGATAAAATCAAATCCACCACCGACTCGATTTTTGCACCAGAAATGCATGCCTGTTTTCTTTTGTTCCAGACAGCGCACACATAAACACCAGACAAAGTCCAGACAATTCACAGACTACATGTAAAATTTAAGAGCTATCGCAAACACGTCGTTACGTTGCATTATCTCCTTCGGACATATTCAAATGTTTTTTCAAATTGTCATTTAAATTACAAAAATCCATTGTTTTAGATGACCTTTTCCCCTTCCCGCAAAAAAACCTCAGACTAATCGAGACCGGGCCCGAGTGAACGTGCGCGAGGAAAATTCCGTTACGTAAAAGATTTCGCTTTGCAAATGTAGCACTTCCGTCGCCGTGTCATCGTTAATTCGTTGATACCGCGGCCGAACAAAGATCGGCGGATGAAAGTGCGAGCGGTCCCTGCGTAGAAATGAGCACACCGGCGCGTCTCCCTATCATCGTTATTCGTCAGGAATGCCGGAATATTCGAATATCCGTGCGAACAGCGCGCGCGCGAGAAAATTTCGCGTTTTGCGCACATTAAAATCTTACACGCGTGACGCTCGTCGAATCGCGATATCGTATGCATCGGTCACGCGCCCGTCCGATCCGGACACGGCGCGTGGCCGCTCGCGAGTAGCGATGGGATTAAGTGTCTTGCAAGTACTTGACACTCTTCAACTCTATCATTACCTTAAAAGATAACGACAATACTTGCAAGTATAAAAAATGAATTCGAACCCTCTGAGGCCCGATTTGTCATTTTCTGGTTGAACGTTAACCAGAGGTTAGCCGATTATCTGTTTCTTCTCAGATAATAATATAGAAAAAGATGGAGAGTCGACTAACTTCCAGTTAACAGTTAACCAGAAAATGAAAAACCGGCCCGAGTGTCACGAGAAACAGGAATATTACTTTCGAGTAGACTCGAATCTTTTATGAATGTTTTACTAGAAATTTTATGTGTGAAACGTTGTGTGTGTGGGGGGGGGATGTGTGCAGTGATGAACACAATGGTTGCAACACTTTGTTTTAAATGAGTCCAGAAACGCGCATTCAGATTCAGGTTTACGTTCCAAAACATTTTCTATGGGGAAAATTTGATTCGAGCAATAGATCGAAAACGCTCAAAATGATTTTGGAATGATTTTCAAATCGACATCGTTTCGATGAATCATTTCCCGCTGGGAAACACTTTTCTCGAATACTGTAAGTGCTCGCTCTATAATTCTATAATTCGAAACTAACTACTCGGGATTCAATTGCTTTCCCTAGTAGCACAGTGTATTGGCTAAACATTGGCCCAATACAATCAAATATTGGGCCAATGTTTAACCAATATTTAGCCACTGCACTGTGCTACTAGGGTTGCAAGTACCCCTAGTAGCACAGTGTATTGGCTAAACATTGGTCCAACGTTGGTTATGGAATAAGTGTAAATATAGTACGATAATAATTATATAATATTAGATTTATATTGAAAGTGCATTGGCCAATATTTAACAATGCAATGAGAATACTAAATATTGCTGAGTAGGCATATTGGCTAAATAAGAGAAGGCGTCCATCTTACAATATTGGACCAACATTGGGAATACTAGATTTACTTCCCAATATTGAAAATCGAGGGGGAAACCGCTGACCAATATCTTGTACACCAATGCCCACTAATGCCCAGTGGGCATTACTTTATCTTGCTTTATCTTATTTTGTCTTATTGTATCTTAATGCCCACAAATGCCCAGTAATGCCGCAAATCTGTACACCACAATGCCCTCAGCGGTTTCCCCCTCGTTGGGGATACTAGATTACTTTCCCATATTGCGCCAATATATTGTGCCACTAGGGACAACGTACGAAATATCATTTCTCATGAATATCACTCGAATACTGGAGACTAAAGCCCGACAGTAGAGTTGAATTCGGATTTTCGAGTTGAACTTGATCCCATCCCTACCTACGACGCGCGACGCGCCGACAGCAGCATTCCCTCCGCCTTCCGAGACAACGCCGTAAAAGCAAAACGGGCGATTAGTGTCGCAGGAGCCGCGAAACGAGATGGTAATTTAGAGATCGCCCGTTCGGATTACGCGCGGGGTTTCTCTCCAACTCGTCACAATTTCTCGTCACCATTGTATACCACGCGCGCCCTGGTATATCTTACAAACGATTAGATACACAATCTGATCGATCTCTGGAGCGTCGAACGTAGCGATATAACCGAATAAAGCGTGAGTTAGAAAGCGGCGCACAATGCAGCTTGATTTCTCGTTTAAGCAATTGTGCATTAGTCACTTTTGCAGGCGGGCGGAAGCAAACGAGAATAGTCGAAAAGAACGGATACTTTTAGTAATCGCGTGCCGGATACATCGATATGTATCGACTCGCGAGTCTGTGGAACGTAACAATTTAGAAAGTGGAATGTATTAATTTCCCATATCTCGGGCTCTCCGCGGTATTTCGCAATCGCGCGATATTAACGGACGAATCGAAGGCGCCGCACACCATCGTTACGCAACACCCGTGATATCCGCGAATGTGAAATAACGACACCTCACCATCGACATCCCATAATCTCGGCATCGATCTTTTCGCCTGACCTTGAGACAGTCCAGTCTAAAAATATATAACGATTGCACGTTGTATTTTGTGACACGCAACGTGCGTTATTATTTTTTTTTTCTTCTCTCCCCTCGATTACGAGGCCTCCACACGTCGCCAGTCAATCCGCTCGGCGAGCGGACAATTGACCTGATTATTGGCGTTTAATTAGAAATAGACTTTCCGAGGCCCGTCGCGCGCCTTGCTCGCCTCGGAGCAAAGGCGGCGAAAAGGGCGCCCGAGCTTTTCGGGCGTGGGTTATTTACGGAAAGCGCGCACAGGCCGCGCGGTCTTACTCAGAGCGGCGCGGCGCCCGCCGTTGTTCGTAATTTAACACTTCGAGAACAATCGATAGCAACAATATCGCCCGACTTCGGACTTCAACAGTCTCCCCCCCCCCCCCTCCAATTATGACTATTAAGCCCGCCGTAAGTCGAGGCGATTGGGCCGGGTTTGAAACAAGGTTAAAATCAGACTGAAAATAGGCTGAAGCTAAGGAACGCCGCCGGCGACGGAGGCGCGAGGAGGAGGAGGAGGGGGGGGGGACGATTAGAAGATAGCCAGGGTGTGCCTACCTTTGCCAGCGTCGTATTCGGTGTCCGCGAGGCGACGCGCGTCGCGGAGGACGTTCCGCGCCGCGTTCGGCGCGGGCGCGAAGTCCGGATCGTCCGCGTCGAAGGACACGCTCTCCTCGAATTCCGTCAACATCGTCGCCGCCGCCGCCGTCGTCGTCGTCTCCGTCATGCCTCGCCGATGCACGCCCGACGGGGCGGGGAGGGGGGCGCGGGGAGGGCGAAGGACGCGGCGAAGAAGATCCCCTCGGCTCTCTAAAACATCGGCGCGCGTTGAGACGTCGCGTGCACAGTTTTCGCGCGGGATCTCGTCTCGCGCCGAGTGCCGCGTAATTTCGGCGACGTTCGCTCGGGCGTTCGAAGGCGGGACGCGCGTCCCGCGCCGCCCGGTCATTCCGACGACGCGACGCGCACTCGCCGCGGGTTCAAGTCGGCGTGCGGACTGAAGTTGGCGGCGCGCGGCGCGACCACGGGATTATGCAAATTGCGCAGCGATAATTATTACCTGTTACGGTGCGGTGCGAGGCGGCGTCGTCGTCACGCCGGCATGCTCGGCCCCGGGCTTTACCGTCGCCGTCACCTGCGCGACATTCGTTATCGGTTTCTGCGAAAGATTTGAAGACCCGTCTCGTAACGCGCTCTCTGTCCCTCTTCTTCTCTCTCTCTCTCGCCCCCCTTTTTTTCGACGACCCACGCGCGACGACAAGCGACTGTTGACTGACACCTGACGTGCATTATCGCGCGGAAAAATCGCCGCTCGCTGACGAATGGCGCGCGACTGACTTCAGGACGATGCCGCGTGCCGCCTCTCTCGGCCGCCGGCGCGGCCGGCGATCCGCGACTCGCAGCGAGATCGAGAGCAACCTCTTTCTCGTGAATCTATCTTTTTTTTTTAAACCTTCTTAAAGGGATGCCGGAGTGATTCCACACTTTTGCACCTTTTACACTTAAAACTGTTTGTTTCGTAGAAACATTCGTGTGATATACAAATTAAATGGCTTGCATATGTATGTAGAGATCGAAAGCAGCTTCCCATACAGCACCGAAGCTTTCAGAAACATTGCAACATTGCAACAATGTTTTCTCAATGTTGCTATTCCGGCTAAATTAAAGAACAATATGGCATCACTGGAGCTAACAAGTTTGTAAGTCTAATAAAAAATAATAGTGCGCAACACACATACTACGTGTACTGTAGCGTGCGTATTGCTCACTATTATTTCTTATTAGACTTACAAACTTAGTTTCAGTGATGCAATATTGTTCTTTCATTTAGCCGGAATAGCAAGTCGCTTTCGATCTGTACACGTAAGCCATTTTAATCTGTATATTACACAAATGCATTTCCGTGAACTGACAGTTTCTACGTTGGAAAAGTGCAAAAGTGCAGAATCGCTCCAGCATCCCCTTAAATCTACGTTTCGGTAACGGAGATTGAGATCTACGACATTTCAGTTTTAATAATGTGCCCAGCACAGAGAGTCCGAAAAGGATTCTTCGCGAATACGCGAATTATGAAATAAATTCCCTTTTCGCTCCCATTTCTCCTCTAAAAACGTCTCAAAGAGTTCAGCGAGAATTCGCCTTTACGTCGCCAGTTTCTGCGCTCTTTTTCGGATGCGAGAGGAACTCTCTTTGTACTCCGTTAGAATTCGCGTCGGAAAGGAATTCTTTTATTTCGAAGTTCGCACTAATTCATAGAGAAATGTTTTTTAATGAATTCTCAAACTTGTTACTATATCTACACTTGACATGCGACACATCAGTGCGCGCGCGTTTTGTCTTGCGAAAATATAAATCTTAGAAAGGAATTATAATACGTCAGGATAAGTAGTGAGAAATCAACATACGTAATTTCAAGAGCTTGTTTGATAAAGTAACTTCCGAACATGCACTGTGCACCACATGCTCCACGGCAACCTAACGTTAGCGCCAATTTGTGATCGCCAGTTTACAAAAGAAAATTTCGTGAGGAAAAACGATCTTATTCTATACATATAATTATATATATTTTATACTTATTATTCTATACATATAATCCTCTTTTGTTCCTCTTGGATTTACCTATCACAAAACAAAAAGATAAACAGAGTTCCATACGTATACGTTGTGCATATACAGGATGGTCTTGAAATAGTTGGTCAAACTCAGGGATTGGATTGAGCTCGTTATAAGGATGAAAAAAGTTCCCACAAACGCAAGTCCAAAAACGCATCCCGCAGGTGTTACGACTCATTTAATTATTAATACCTGATAAAAAAAAATGGAAGGCTATGGAAGGAAAAAACTTTATTTTTATATACAAAGTTGTTAAAAATGTCCAGTGTTAGCGAAAACACGTGCTTTCATCTAACCATTGACTGTCTAACACGCTCAAAGATTCCTAGCGTATTTCGAGATTGCTGTGTTTTGAATTTTTAAGTGCTCGAACAATAATAGTCGATTTTAATTGTGACAACAGATCAATCGATTAAGCTACTTATTAAACACAGTAATTAAAAAAGCACAAATCGTAGTAAGTACGATCAAAACTTTAAATGTACTTATTCTTGGAGATTGATAATTAAATGAGTCGTAACTCCTGAAGGATACGTTTTCGGACTAACGTTTATGGGAACTTTTTTCATCCTTTTGACGAGCCCAATCCTATCGCTGATTTTGACCGACTATTTCAGGACCACCCTGTATATATTCATATAAAAATAATACTCCTTAGTTTCTGTGAAATAAGTTTTGCATATGTACAGATTATGCAAAGTTCAACCATTAATAATCCATTTTATGTATTTTTAACATTACATCGAATCGAAAGCTCGTGTGTCTTTCTCTGCTATTGTCTTTGTTCCTATTATGTATAAAAGTCATGTAATATTAAATGTAAAAACACTTTCTCATTAATCCTATTGAATATTCTTATTCTATTAGTGCATTATAATCACTTAGAAAAGATAAATGCTCAGGCAATGTGCAGCTTTGGAATTTCTTATATTATTTTGTTATAACTTAAAGTATTTAATATCTTATACCTATTTAAAACTTAACAATAAAAAGCTATATGATAAAATTATATATATATATGATATATATAATTTTTTATATACACATAGAAAAAACAATACGTGTGCGAAAATCTAACATAAAAAATAAAAAATATAATATCCTTAACACAATATATTGGCGCAATATTATAATATTCCAATATTATAAATTTTTTTTTTTTATTAGACCAATATTTTTTATTAGACCAATATTCTCTTATTACGTTATTAAATACTGCCCAATGCAATTCCAATATAACTCTAATATTATATAATTATTGTTGAGTAATATTTACATTTATTTCATAGCCAATATTGGCTTTACGTTGGACAACATCGGCCAATAAATTTCTAATATAACCAATATTGGACTAATGTTTAGCCAATGTCTAGCCAATGCAGTGTACTACTAGAGTTCTATTAAGCAAACAACCGAGCAAATCCAACCGGAACGAAAGATAAAATTGTAGAAAAATAATATGTAAACGACATATCGATATTAGAATGTTACTATCACATATTGGATACGTTTATTCGTTCCTCGTACGCGTTCCAAAGTTCTCTTTTGTACTCTAAAGTGGCCTTCAGATAACCATTAGGCGCCTCCGTGATACCCCTGCCAACGACTGCTAAATCGGCACCGGCACCGACAACGGATCGCGGATCGTTATATTGTTGGCCTAACCCGTCGCCACTTTTCAACAGCTTGACACCGGGTGTCATCTGAAGCAACCCGGGTTGCGCCGAGAGATTCGACTGGCACACGAGGCCTACCACCAGATCGGAGGCCGCCTCCGCCATCGAGGTCGCGCTCTTGAGATAATCGCCGGTAGTCAATGCCCCTTCGCACGACATCTCGGCAACCAGGAAAATGCCGCGGGGTTCACTGATACTTTCCAGGCTTTTTCTCAGCGCGTTGATGACGGGCGCGCCCGATACCGGATGTACCGTGACCAGATCGGCCCATTCGGCAATCTTGTACAGACCGTGTCTGTATTGCAACGATACCGTGTTGCCAATATCGCCGAACTTGCGGTCCTCCATCAACAAAAATCTGTGCTGCCTCGCTAGTTCTCTAAGTTTAAGTATAAAGCTTTTGTTACAATCTTCTATGATGTCCACATGAGTCTTCAGCACAGCGATATGAGGCCCTGCCACGTTTGCCAATTCCAAAATTGCGTCAGTTTCCTTTAGATCGGCCGCCAAGCAGAGATTAGTTTGTTTCGATTCCATCAGCTCCAGCAGTTTCGAGGCCATTGGATTCGTCGTTAATTTCGCGCGTTTATTATATGGCAGCTTCAATCTGTCGTCCGGCACGCCTGCAAGTAAGAGCAATAGTTGTTAGAGTGACAAAATTCGAAGCACTTAGCATACAAATCATAAGACTAATTTGTTGCAACTAATTCACCTCGGACAGAAACGCTCGGCGCTCGATTTGTAACCAAGTAATCATCGACGTTCTTCACTGCCTCGGATGTAATCTTCCCAGCCTCTAGGAGATACCTCATAAGTTGCGTAACCACAAATAGACTCTTGACTTTGATCCCATGATTCTCGAGATTCTTCCTGCCACCCTGCTCCCTATCGATCACCACGTAAACCTCCGTCACGCTTAGCTTTTCCTTCTTCAAGCTGTCGACAGTTTCTAAAACACTGCTGCCACTCGTGATAATGTCCTCAATGATCACGCAAGTCTCACCAGGCGAGAAGACACCCTCGATTAACTTCTTCGTGCCGTACGACTTCGCTTCTTTTCTCTTCATTAACATGGGAATCTTCTCCTCCGCCGATATCAGAGTGCTTAACGGCAGTGCGGTGTATGGGACGCCACAAATTCGGGACACTCTCGTAGGATCGTCCACCAGTGTCCACAGAGCTCTCGCTAATTTCAACTGCGATAAAAAAATGAATTAATAGCCACTGTATTGCATAGCGTAATTCTTATAGCAACTTCCAGTAAACTTCAATTAAGTCAATCAGCAATTAATTAGCAGAAAGGTTTACAGCAGAATTTCTGCTTATGCAATCTGTTGTCTCGAACTGATCTTATTTTCATATGTTGGAAAATTTTTATCCATCTTAAAAAGGTGATGTGATTTTATGCCCGTTCTACATCCAGGGATGATCCTACTTGTGGCTCATCCGAGTGAGTAAATAAATGGACAAAGGTCGTCGTATTGAGACCGTTTATGGACTCGGGTGCTATTTCTGAAAAATCATAGTGAAATCGTACACAAACCATACTTAGTATGATAGCCATACTAAAATGTCCGTGTAAACTTCTCCACTCGGGTGAGCCACAAGTAGAATCATCCCTAGGTGTAGAACGGGCATTAGTAAGTTAGTTATCGATTAAATTAACCACAACCAAGTTCAAGATTAACCTGATGTTAATTTCTACCGATGTGGAGTAACTTTAATCTCTGCTTAACTTACGTGTTTGTTTCCTTTTCTAATAATTAAAAGAAGATAAATTAAAAAAACTTCAATGATTACTTGACCACATCTGGCAAATTTTTATGTTTAAACTCACAACGTCTCGATCGTGGCTTGCGGTCCTTTTCAAGTAATAATTGTATGAAAAATTCAGTGCGGTGAATTGAAGGAACAGATTTTAATTTCACGAAAGGCAGAACATAACTGGATAAGGTAAATTAAATCGACATCAAAATTAATTCGCACTAATGTAAGTTTGATGCTCAAATGTTTACCATTAATTCTGGATAAGAGATTATCATGACTGGATAAGGTAAATTAAATCGACATCAAAATTAATTTGCACTAATGTAAGTTTGATGCTCAAATGTTTACCATTAATTCTGGATAAGAGATTATCATACGCAGGTCAAAATATATCGGCGTTCTCAGACCGATTTTCGTCTTAAAGTCACCGAATTTCACGGCCTGAATATCGTACAGCTCCACGGCCAATTCTTTCAACGTCGCATCCATGTCGGCTGTAATCATAACGTCGTATTAACAACATTTTCCTGTGCAAAGTTAAACACTTGACTGCGAGGCAAGAACTTCGAAGTGATATTCGACCAGCGAATTAAATTTTCTATTCTGCTATTATCTTTAGGTGACAAATACTTATGAATACATTTTTTTGGAGATTTTATAACACAAAATACGGACAAGCTGGATTGCTGAAGAAAAAGAAAGCAAAGATATTAAATACAAAATCTAACCTATATTTCTTACGATTACACGTAGGAACCACGTGTCAGTTGTCACTACTCGCTTAAATATATTTGAACTGGAACCGAATGGAATCCGTCTACTAGCGCCTCTGTGCGTACAAAACGTGTACCCTGTAACGAGGAAAAGAAACTTTTTTTCCTATCTCATTTCTGTTCTCGAAAAACGTTCCAAAAGAAATCGCTTTTATGTCGCCAATTCTCGGAATCTTTTTTTAAATTCAACAGGAGGTAAAAAGGTGAAAAGAACTGGCTGTTGTCTCTATTAAGAAGATCCTAAAGTCATCTGTTTTATCGACACATTTGAATATAGTTTTTGCACTGGAAAATCATTTTATTAGTTTTTACGCACAAAATAATGCCAGGATAAGTTGCGGACCGCAAAACAGAACGTTTTCATACTTAAAACACTCAGGTCAGAAGCCTAATGAAAAAGATATTGGTATTTGAAATTTTCAATTTTTTAATCGTGAGCAATTTGAAATTGGCTCTATAAAATCACAAAATTCTTCCACACGATTATAATACGCATAAAAACAAAAAGGGGTGGTTTGCGACTTTATATAAAGAACGAAGAGAAATAAAAAATATCAGCATGTGAAGCTGTCACGTAACCTATTAAACGCCATATTTTAAACAATTCGACTATAGCAACAAACAATGAGAATTATCATAACAAAATATTTAAATTAATTAAAATCTTATATTGCGCGCACATATCTCTCTCTCTCTCTCTCTCTCTCTCTCTCTCTCTCTCTCTCTCTCTCTCTATTTTTGACGTATAGAAAAATGCATATAAACTAAAATTATGACAAATAATTGAAATATTAACCCTTTCATAATTTCTGAAACATATCAAATCCATTAAATTTTTCAAAATGACTCGAACAAAATTAGCACACATTTTATTGAAAGACATATTTAAAAAAAATAAAACAAAAAGTATTGCGGTCACGAAAGAGTTATAGACGGTAGTTCGCTATTAAAGGGCAGGCGACAATGAATTACACGGCGTAGCGTTACATTTATAGTAACACAAATATATTTCACTTTTATTCGAAAACAACAAACGCATCTCCAGAGATCGCGGCGCAATCTTCATGCGACCGCAAAACGCATACTTTTGAAATGTCCATGTTTGTGCGCGTTGGACATTCTGTGTCTCGCCTCAACACACGCTCACGTTAATGGTATTAACCACGACCTCCCCTGATTTGTTTGCAGAAACGAATAGCGAAATGCACGTGCGAGATGTTAACGTAGACTAAGTTTAAAAATAATTAATATTATTATCGTTTTGTAGTACACATATACATATTTTTAGGACACATCGTAAGCTTTTTATTCCCAAAGAGTGACGCCCAAACCAGGACCAAAATCACTCCTGGCTGCACTAATATTTTTTTTATTTAGCACAGAAAGGAGTGATTTTGGGCGCCACTCTTTTATTTTCTAGCTACTTTAGTACTTTAGATTACGGCCGCTGTTTTTCATTTCTCGTTTCCCTGTTGGTTTTTGCACACAAATCAGCACGTGATTAATAGTTGCGAAGACAAATGAAATCTTTATAAGTAATAATATCAGTACCGCAATCGATAACAATTTCTTTAATTATCGTCAAATAATACGGCGATACAGGCTGCTATGAAACGCAGTCAGTCAGGGACCTCGCATTCTAGTAATGTAACGCAAATTTTACACAATACAAAGTGTTTTAAATTAAATTGCTGTGCGTTTATCCGAAAATATTTTCCTCTTATTTTTTTTATTTCGAGCTTGCTTCGTTCTTAACAAAACTGATTGCATGTCTGAAGTCCTCAAAGTTGCTCGAAGTGAAAATATTCGTTGAAAATGTTTGCTTCGTTTGTCATATTAATGTTCATTACCTTGATCGACTGTACGCTTTGTAGGCCGTTAGATGGTAAGACGAAACTATTTTGCGGCATTTTGGTTATTGAAAAAGTTACGATAATCTTCGATCGTTCAGAGCTTATCTCGAATCTGCGCACGGCAGATTCTTCGTATTATTGGCGGGGAGGATGCGCCGGATTTTCGATGGTATCGTCAACTTATCGATAATGTAGACCTTTTAAATTAATCCTTTTAAATTGTTGGATTAATGTGTATTATCTTTAGATCCTCAATACCTATTACTTCTTCGACGCCTCGATATTGAGAACCCTTGATAGATGTTCAGTAATCTCCTCGTTATCGTATCAGTTGTTCAGAGAATCAGCTGAGGCTCGTGACTTATAAATTACATTTCAAAACGTAAAATCGCAGTATTTAATTTATACTATGTATATACCCACTTGATGGTATACATATTCAAAATAATCTTTACACGTTCCGAATGTATAACGGTATTCACAATCGTTTCTTGACGAGCAAAAAGTTTTGTGTTTTGTGTGTGTGTGTGTGTGTGTGTGTGTGTGTGTGTATATGTGTATGTACATTCTCATATACGCGTTCATCATAAAGAAATATTCCTAGTAGCACAGTGTATTGGCTAAACATTGGTCCAATGTTGATTATATTAGAAATGTATTAGCCGATATTGTCCAACGTAAAGCCAATATTGGCCGTGGAACAAATGTAAATATTGCACGATAATAATTATGTAATATTAGATTTATATTGGAAGTGCATTGGCCAATATTTAACAATGTAGTAAAAATATTGGTCTAATATTGACATAACATTATAAACCAATATTGCTAAATAGACATATTGGCTAAATAAGAGAAGGCGTCCATCTTACAATATTGGACCGATATTGGGAACACTAGATTTACATTATTTCCCAATATTGCGCCAATATATTGTGCTACCAGGGATAAGTATTTGTTACACTGGATTACAAAAATTTAGCAAATGTCCCAATTGTAGAATAGCTTCTTAAAAAGAGTGTGAACATTCAAATATCCACCGAGAAACGGCTATGAGTACCGCCCACTTTTGCATGGCCATCCCACGTGGAATATCCATATATTACACTCGACTGGATTACATAAGTCTGTCTACTGTCTTTTTTTTCCTTTCTTGTCGGCTTAACGCATTTTCATGCCGTTGCTTCGAGCGCGAACGCTTCTTCAAATTCTAACGCTTATGTGTTCTAAATACAATTACAATATAATTAATCTCAATTCTCAATGGCCAAGTCGATTGGACTCTAATTTGATATAATAATAACTTTCTACGTATTCCGCTACTGGCTTTTTCCCCCAAAGTTCGTATAAACCCTGCTAAAGTTGCGCCGATCATTCTCGACGCTACCGGATGGCCGTGACCGAGACGTCTATATTTATTAGATAGTTTTGTAATGAAGTCTGTTCCTAGTTTTAATACAGTGTCACTTTACATTAGTGAGTTTGGAGCTGCCCTAACGATTGGTTTATATGATTTTTATACATGAGAATGTGAGAGATGAGTATATGAGTATGTATAAATTTTAATGATAATGTTTCAATAGCGTTATCTCTGTGTGATAAATATAGGACTCTACTGCATTCGGTTGGCCACCCGTCCCTACTATTACTTAAACTTATCGGAAAACCGTATCAAACACTTTTCAAGAAATGTATAAAAAATTTGTAGACGAAACCGACGTGCTCTAATGTCAATTTTTTATATGATAAATTAAAAATAAATCTAGTATTGGTGGCAAATTCAAACTATTAAAAAAATTACATCACGCTTTTCTTTACAACAATTTATGTAAATAACATATGTAATTTCAATAAAATGAAAAATTTTATTTGCTATGTAAATATATGTAAATATACATATTATATGTATATTAAATTAATACGTAATTTTTCGAAACTATAAATATATCAATAAATTTAACGTTTAATGTCCGAGTAAATAAATTGCAAAGTTAATTGACGCTTTAAGTGCAACAATTTATATATAAATAACTTTATTTCATTTGTGCATAAAATCCTTTTTAAGGTTTCACATATTACTTCATATACTTTATAACAGTAACATTTGTAATATTAGATCTAAGAAGAGCACGTCAGATTCTGTTAACGTTATCTTAGAAAAAATCGTTAGTCTAAAAAGAGAAGAACAAACAGGGGTGTTTCTGATTTCGTTGAGAATCTATTGACAACGGTTTTTGTCGTTAAAAGAAATATTACTTTCAATCTCGGAAGTAAAGTACGTTCTCGACAAATCGGTCCACCCTATAAAAATGATCTTACGGCTACTGGTCTAATTATATAATTTGAGGAATTGTTTCATTGAGGCCTGTACATTTGGCGCATCGTCAGCGTTAACATTATTCTTCGGAGTTATCAATTATTACGTATGTGCATCAGTTAACTTATTCCTTTTGTAATCGTCGTTAAAAGTGAGTTTTATATGGTAAAACTGTTGCATATTTTGTGCTGGCAATTTCCTCGCAATTAGTTAAAACAGAAATTTCTATACAGTACATATATAACTTGTCGACAAAAATATTTCTGTTAGCTAATCAACAATCAAGATAGAGCAATTAATATTCAGTGGTAGAAAAGATTACAAGTAAACGTGAAGTATTCCTAAAACAGCTACGCAAAATAGACATCTAAATTGCACGAATAATTACAGACGTGTGCCTCAACAATAACTATCGTATCAACAACAAATTCCGATAATATCATATTTATCATAAGTAATAATTTAATAATTATTTTAAGCCTCGTGCTTTAACGACTGTTACATAACGGTATATTGCACTTCAAGAGAGACAAAGTTTAAAGACACAATTGCATCCAAATGATATAAATTTGAAGCTTGAAAACATAATACCTTAAATATTTATCTAATACTCTCAGCTGACGATTTAGCGGAGATAATATCTTTCGTTAGTCTGACAATAATTATGCAATAGTGCAATTCTTAAAATCATCTCCTGCAAACTAGCACATACAAGATGTTCTGTAACATCTTTGAGTTCTTAGATTCCTCGGTTTGGCGTATTCTCAAAAAGCTCAAAAGATATTTATCCGAATACTTATTTCTGACAATATCTGGTTTATGTAAGTAATTAAACGTTAGTTATTCAATACTGTTTGCGAATAAAAGTAAAAAATACACAATATATTAATGTGAGAATATTCAATAGCTAGATATACTCGTAAGTAAAGTAATCGGAAAACGTCCAAATACCAAATACCTCGATCGTTTATAGAATAGTTTTGTAAAAATATAGGCCTGTCGACAAAACGCGTAATCGTAACGGCAAATGACTTATGAAGAAATTATTAATGTCGATCAGAATGATTAAGAGTATTTAAAACTTTAAGTCAATTGACGGAGATCGAATTTATATATTTCACGAAGAGACACTTTCTAGTTAACGTACAAAATATGATTTAATAAACTATCAAGTTCAAAAAAATAAAATCGTTATTTCTTCAACACGCGCGTCTTTTTACTTTCCCGGTAAAGAGAGTGCCAATTGTTCTCGAAATTCCTGCTTCTGGCGCTCTATTGATAACTGCGTGTTTAATCATCATTAATCACTCCGTAATCTCCTATCGCACCCTCAAACATATTATAGCTTCATTCTGACCAAATATCAGATACACGAGAATCTTGATGGTCTCTGTATCTCTTGGGTGACTCAACCCTCTTATTTCTTAGGACAAACCTTGCCTGGAATCGATCATAAGTTTCGTTTGCACGAACGAAATTTTCTTCGACTCGTCGGTAATCGCTGTTCTCGAAGGATTCGGCGGAACTGAACCGACATCCCTCGGTCGCGAGAAATTATTCCAATCAGGATCCAACACCCTGGCGAGGTTTATTCATTCGACATGAGCTGCACGCTGTCGTCGGCCGATCGATGAAGTCGCCGAACTTCTGACAAGGAGCGAATCGGCGTCGGATGTAGTAACGAGAAGGGATGAGAATGCCGATCTAGAGTAAAGGAAAGGTAGCATATGAAAGAAATTCAAAATATGCAGATTTATCGCGCCGCTGTAAACAAGTTTCTAATTATAAAAAATAAATATATGAATTTTATATATACAAATATGTAACAGATATGTAATTATATATTACTTATCTATTATGTATTTTATTCTTTCGCGCGCGTATGCGAGAGAAAATTCATATAAATATGTTTATAAGTCATTATTTGTACGTAATTATATAATTATTAATGCTTCCTTATAGAGAAAGCTCTTTATTTTCGCGAGAAAAAGAGTTTCTCAATTTTCTTTGCCGAATTCAACACCAACCACCCTTTCATAATACCTTATTCACATAAAAAAAAAATTTAGCCCGATATTTCGATCTTTACAGAAGTTAGAATAACCACCAATTTTTTAGCATACATACATGCCGACATTTCTTTTAATGTGATTTTTCGATGCTTTCGAACATTCAGAACGCAGCTTCCTCTACGAGGAAGCCAAAAATCCGCATGCGCATAAGGGGAGAATTAGAAATTTGCACATGGCTTCCTCATAGGGAAAACTTTGTGCGCGAATTAACATTCTGAGGAAGCAATTTCCAACTTGCATCTTAACTCACAAAGCTTCTTCTATGAGAGAGCCAAAATTGCAAAGAACATCTTGCCCAGACGATGGGGAAGCAATGTGCAAATTTCCCATTTGCTCCTTTCTTCATTTCTATTTTTATAAATAATCAATATATCTGGTTATATGTTGTCATATATAATCCTTTATCGATCCGATTTTATCAGCAAGATAGAAAGCTATAACTTTCCGTCGATCGCCCACTCTCAGGAACCTTAATTTAATCGAGTTAAAAGTGGGAAGAGGCAATATACATATATACACAAAAAGGGGGGAGAGAGAGAGAGAGAGAGAGAGAGAGAGAGAGAGAGAGAGAGAGAGAGAGAGATCGCGCGGGTCTAGAGTCTAGAGTGCAATGTCAAGGTTGGACGTAAGTGTCTCTCGTGAATGGATCGATTTGCTGAAGCTCCGATCTGTATTTTCACAGTATCGCGTCGATGTAATTTCACCTCGACACGCGAAGTATCCCACCTTCATCGATTCGATTAAACAATGTCATTATCGTATTTCTTCCTTATATAATTTATTATCATCGCAAGCACCGCAAACTCTTAAAGGAGCAAGAGAAACGAATACCAGTTATAAATATATAATATAAATACGTGGCGATCTTCTCCAGCCAACGTTTCCAATTTTCAGTCATGAAGTCACGAAGTCGTGAAGAGCTAGTTATAGGCAGTTTTCTAATTCATAATTTTTTAAGCAGCTTTAACTGCGTTACTGTTACATTCTGAATGCATCTCCACTGAGGCATTCTCACTTCTAACATCAGCTGACATTGAACAATATCATTTGCATGCAGATATAATTTGTTCTTATACGATTTATAATCACGTTACATAAGCATCGATTTAAACGAGAGAGAAACGAGTATATATCTTTCGTTATAAATAAATATCCGAGAGCGGAAAGTTTCTATCGATTTTCAATTAAGTAATTTTAGTCCGTAAACTTTCCTTAAATAATTTTTTAAGTAAACGTTGCTTTTATATCCTAAATATCCTCGTTAACGTTCTCACCTCTGATATCGGTGGTCGTCTCGCTCCTCGAGAGCTCGTGATCGTTACCGCGATGCGAGGGAGTTTTCGACGGGCTCTTGACTAGGAGTGCCGCATCGTTTTTGCCCGGGGTCGTACTCTCATCCTGACTGGGAAACTGGAAGGCCGTGGAATTGGGCCACGAAGCCGGGGGTGGACTGCGTACCAGGTGCTCGTGTATCTGCGCGAGCGTGAGCGGATCCGCGTCACCGTATTCCTGAAAACACATTGCCTTTTCAAACACGTCTTTTTAAACACGCTTACAAAGGAGTAGAAAATACTTGTATCAAAGGAGGCATCAATTCTGAAAACACTTTTCTCTTTCTTCCTTTTCTACACTCCTTTTCAAGAAAGTTGACTCGTCTCTGTCGCGCTCTCGCCCAATTTCTGGCTCTCAAATATTAAACTGTCCGCGAAAACTGATCAATTATTTCAATTCTTTAGGATTAGGCAATTCGGGGCAGTTGCAAAAAATCTACTACCTTTTCTAAAAGCAACGGCGATCAGAAAAACTTATCGTTACCCAATAGTTTACGCGTCACCCATGCGTACAAGTGAATCTCTAATGTTTTATCGAGTTCGTGAGAGTTCGATGAGGGACCTCACCTGCGACATTAGAATCGCATCGTCGGACTCGGACTCCTCGATCGATTCCACGAGGCTCTCTCGACTTGCTAATACCTGCATAATTAGAGGAAATTTTACGTACAATTATGTCAATATAGCAAAGGCGTATGAAGCGTTATCAAGAAATGGGAGAATTCATCGCATCTGAGCAATTCGTCGTTTCTTCTAGCGTTAAAAAAAATTTAAACAGCCAACCGCAAAAAAAATTGTTACGTTTTAAGTACTGAACTTTAAAGCTCCAAAAGGAATTGAATTATAGGCAGAGGAAGGTCCCCTGTTATGAGATAAGGCTCCTGATATGAGATAGCGGAGTTTCTGTTAAATTAATAGGCATCGTCCGTTGGTTCCATCGTGAATTTCTTGCCCTTGGAGTGAAATCTGTTTAGTGGAGAATCGATTAGATCGTGTGATCGTTGCGAAAAAAGATTTGTAATTGAATTTGAACGTTGAAAAGCTGCTATCTCATATTAGAATCCTATCGCGTGATGTATAACTTTTCTCTATACACAGATAAAAGATGCACGTTTTAAGTTAAAATAAAACAACAAAGTTGTTTCTGCAAAGTCCGAATCGTTCAGGATCCCAGCAATTCGCGGATCGTTCGGGATTGAAAAGTTTCGCCAAAATCTGTGTTCTTTCAACGGGGCATCGTAACGATCGGGCGAACCTGTAGGAAAGGATTGTCCTGGCGGCTCAGTCTGAGTGCTTCCATGTCCTGATCGATGTTACGCGTTCTACCGGGTGTCAGGGTTAGAATTGAGTGCGAGGGTGACGGCTGGCAGGAGACAACGACGTCCACTGCTGTCACGCTCAAGGTCGACGGGATTCGCGACATCGCGCTGTCGCTCTCCGAGCCGCTCCGGCGACAAGCATTGGTAATAATTGCTGCAAGGAATATCGCTTGTGCAATCGATCACGTGTGCGCGCGTGTATGCATGTGTGCTCTCATTAGCTCGGCACAAAGGATAATTCTCACAATCAATGCGTCTAATTTATTATCCGAGACTTTGTTTTATTAACTGGACGATGTATTATTCTCGTTCACGGCGCGCAATTTATTAGTTCTACCTTCAGTTTGCCAATTACAGTTATAGAAAAGCGTATTGAAGCAACGTAAGCGAGATTCAGAGCAAATGGCGCTAATTACTTTACTACGATTTTAATTGTAGCGTAAAAATGAGTCGCCATAGAGGCATGTCATTAAATAATACGCCCTTAAATAATAACGTCTACTTCCGTTTTAATACTTTTGTATAAATCAAATAAAGTAAGAATTAGAAACGAGAACGCCAAATCATTGCTTAGGTCCGGACAAGCTGAAGGTAGGCTAATGATTTTTTATTTAATATGTGAATTCATATACCGTTTTCTCAACCTTTCCTGCATTCACATATTAAATTCAAAATTATTAGGCTACCTTCAGTTTGCCCTAAGTAAGTTGCCCTAAGTAAAATGCCCTAAGGCATTTATTCCCTTCACTCTCACCTGTGATATTGGTTAATTTCTTACGGCTCAAGGCTTACAGCTTACTTAAAGCAAGGTTGTAGACCAACACTAATGATTTGGCGTTCTCGTTTCTATTTGATTTATATCCTAAAGGTCCTGATTTAACTTTAAAGTAAGAATTCTCGTCTTCGCCAGTGCATAAAACAATTAAGGTTGCGAAATTGTTCGACGTAACTGGACAATATATCCCTTTAATAAAGGAATATATTGTCCAATTACGTCGAATAACTTCAAAACCTTTACTTTTGTATAAAATCTCTAAATTAGCAACGTACTGAGATTTAAGATCTTTTGCATTCTCCAACAGACTCTCATCCAACAAAAATATGTTCGACGTTTTCAATTTCAATTAAATAAAACAGCGACTAGCTAACAAGCGACAAGAAGCCAAGAACCTCACAGATTTTCGTGTTGCCATAATGAACGTTTAAAGATAACTTCAAGATAATGAAACTTCATAAAGGATCAATGAGATATCTCACCAGGAGTTTCCACCCTGGGCGCGCGTTCCATCTCCTCGTCTTCGTTAATCTTCATCCCTACCGTTAATTTCCTCGATTTAAACAGGTTCGTTAGGAAAGCTGCCCCTTTGCGTTTCACCCGATCATATCTGTGCACGCTTTCAGACGACACGTGTATCATAATTCGTCTGTAAACATATAACGTGGCGTAAGTTACGGACGGCATCGTGTAATCGAAATATAATGTGACACACAACAAATTTTCGGACGACACATGTATCATTTACTCGTCCGACATTGTCATATATAGAGGAGAGTCCTCTATTATGAGATAGGCGTCTAATACGAGATAGCGGAGTTTAGACTAAATTAATAGGCATCATCCGTTGGTTCCACCATGAATTTATTGCCCTTGGAGTGAGGTCTGTTTAGTGGAAAATTGATCAGATCGTGTAATCGTTGCGAAAAAAAGATTTGCAATTGAATTTGGACATTGAAAACCTACTGTCTCACATTGGAATCCTATCTCATAACTTTTCCCTTATGTGTATATAGGAAAATTGGAACGTAATTGTCAATTCATGGCACAATATACAGGAAACGCGAGAAACTATGGAAACTCTTACTTAAATTGAGAGTAAGCGTTTTGCCAATCTGCTGTAGATTTAGCAAAGGAACCACGATAGAGCAATATGTCTGTCGGCAGGAAAAAGCGAGAAATCGATCAACAATTATCGCATGACCAAAGGATTAGTTTCCATACTGTTCCCAGGTTGATTCAAAGAGACGCGATAACTTGTTACAAGTTGTAATGTAATAATCGCGACGACACGTATAGTGCAATGATGTAACAAGGCGAAGCGATAGACGGTGGCGACTTACACCACTTTCACTTTCAACCATCAGTCGCCACAGTTAAAGCCTAGCAACCCCATGGCGATTAGGATACTCCCGAGAATTTTTATTGGGAGAAGAGTTCAATCTTATAAATATATACATATACATATATGTATTTATTTATTTGTCAGAAACTGGCAATGAGATAACAGTTTATAAACAAGCCGTGCCGCGACGCGCTACCAAGTGTTAACTCGATGGAATTGGATTCGTTGTCAGATGTGCGAGCGACATCGGATCTGCAATCCGAGGAGTAGCGTACTGCCAACTGCAGCTGCGGAAGGGTGTGCACCTACTCCTGTGCAGGAACTCGCGCAGATGCAGCTGCGAGCGAATGGACGGAGCCTGCGCGCGAGAAGGGGTGGTGAGATAGGGAGGGTGTTGAAGAAGACGAGAGCGACGGAGTCCTTAAGAGTGAGGCGAAGTAACGTTATTTCACTCCTTTACGGTAGACTCGAAGGCCTCAAAAGCCGTATCGTGCTTGTTCGATCAAGACACGGGCTGTTTAAAGCGAGGGCTCGGGAGGAGAAAGACACGTGGACCTGGCGGAGTCGAATTTTTTCGATTGGAAGCATAAGCCGCGTTGCACCTTGCGACCTCAACGTGACTGAGATAGTATTCAAATTGCAAAAGCGGATTATTAATTACACCGAGAAAAGAAAGTGTTGAGTCAAGAAATACTTCTTGATTCAATTATATGCGGCGAACACGGGCTGCCAAGTAAATATTTATTAATTCAAAACATACTCGTCAATTCAAAAGAACATGTGTTTCTCTCTAAAATTTGTGGAGTGAAAATACTGCCATGGAGCGAAATGTTTACTCCATTGGGGTTAATATTCACTCTGTTGGAGGAAATATTCACGCCAATAGGGTGAACATTTCACTCCACGGCAGTATTTTCACTCCACAAATTTTAGAGAGCTAAATCACTGCATGTTTAACATAAAAAAAGAAACATATATATTTGAACTAAAGAAATTATGTACAAACATTAACCTAGATTCAACTTAGAAAAGATATTGAACATATACTTCAACATTCAACATTGCAACGTTTCAGCAACATTATTTTAACTTTCTGTGCTGGTATGGGTATGTTATCCGACACATAACAAATTATACATATAACGGGTTGGTGATCGAATGTTAAATCAATATTGAAGTTTAATAACAATATATTTAGCAGTTTCTACCCAATTTTTAATCGCTCTTTCGGGAAAATACGAAAGGATACTCGGTCTTTGCGCGAGTCTGTAAATGCAGCGTCGGTAAAAGGCGAAAAAAAAATCGAAAGACGAGCGTTGCAAGTAAATTTTCAGAACAACGATTCTTAAAGCAACCACACTATGCACGGGGTGGTTGAGAAAGACGGGTACTTTTCCAGGAGTGCGCCACGTCGTGTTCGTTCGATCGATCGCACGAGACTCCGTTGTACAAGGGGTGGTTGCCATACGTGCTGTCGGTTCCGCGTATAATGCGACCATTAAATTGACGAATGTTAAGTAAAGTTTGATAACAGAATTACGATTCGTACTTTTCCGCCCCCGTTCCGCCTCCCCCCCCCCCCCGGTAAATGGCAAACTTATAACATGCGATCAGTGGATGTATGTTGTACATACAAGTCTGATCAGCCACGCTGCCTTTCTCTTAGCAGTTAATATTGCATACCAAATTTTCAGAACAATCGCATTGTAAACCGTACGTGAAGGACCGCTTCGCCGTTCGATTCTAAACGAAACACCAATTGAGCTCACAATAAGACCCTTCTATTAAAACCATCCTTGGAACTGACTCCGTAACGAGGCTTTATTGTTTATTTAAACCTTTGTTCCATGCGAATGACACTTCTAAAGGTCTCAGGGGTGACTGATCAATCGTGGGAGTAGCGTGAAATTATTTTGCCGTGGGAGTTTCCACTCCTGGATAATGATTTCAAATCCCTCGCGGATAACGCACGATTAAAGCTGCACGTGGCCGATCGACCTGACGGGGGCTGAAATTGAAATTCCGCCCGGGCGACTCGCGTCGTTCGTTCACCGTTTTCGAAACTTGTACAGCGGGCCCGAGTCCCGGCGAATCTCTCGACAGCTATTTGCACGTTTCGATGGCACCCGGGACACGATCGACACCCGACCGAGCCATCTCTCGCGTTGGTTCCAGTCCGTAAACACCGCGATCACTGGCAGTCACTGCGACATTTGCGGTCGCGTTGCCAAGAGGCAAAGCGGGACTCGATCGGCGCGATACACGTTCCTCGACCCATCCGTCGGATTACCTGAAAGCTCGCGCACCTGCCGGCGACGCATCCTCGCGTCGCGTCGCGGTGCGTCGCGACGCCAACGACACAGGGGTGCGGCGCACGCGAGCGAGGGTTCCGGCCGGCGGCACGCCGGTCCTACCCCCGGAAAATCAAAGGAAGCCGGCTTATCGGCGATGCGCGCGCGCGCATCGCTCGGGGAGGCATCCCCCTTCCGATCGAACCCGATTTTCAATTAGGATCACTATATGGGGTGTTCGAGAAATTGGACGTAACTCCTGGGTACTCTCTTTGTCTCGTACGATTCGTCGTGATCATTGATACAGCTCGGCTAAATTAATCTGACAAATTGCGAGTCGTTGGGACGAGTGTGGGGGAGATTTGCGTGTCTCGGAAGTCACGAATCCGCGTGCATAAGATATTAATTGGATTCGTAAAAGATCGTGGGGCAGTTGAGAATAAAAAGTGAACTTGAGGTAGATATGCCGATTTATTCAAATCATTTTGCCTACCTGAAAATTTCGCCAAATCGCAACATTAATACCTTGTAAATTAATGTTTAATTGTGATTCCTAAATCAACGCACGTTATGCGTAAAATGCGTAAAAATAGCACTCGCACAGCGGAATTCGTTTGCCGTATTATTTCTCCAGATTTCTCCGCCGTTCTATGGCTTCCAAGTATCTCTCACTAAATAATAAATAAGTTTCTCGACAAAGTTTAGCTATAAAATATTCATTTGTTACATTTGACAAAATCAGAAAGGATTCTAAATAAATGAATTTCTTTCATCATGCATTATATACAATATATAAATATATTGCCGTGAGAATATCATGTACGTTTTCTAATAATACGTCTGGAGAAAGTGCGTTTTATGGCGAAACAATGGCATACGAGTGCTTCTTCTGCCGCACATAAATACTTAACACAAAACGTTACGTAAAAAAAGAGAGAGAAAAATTAAATAACAAAAGCGGCCGACGCGATGTGAAACGGCGCCTCGTAAGTACGAATAACAAAGGATTCTTGATAAAAATGTTTTGTTAGAAGAAAATAAGAAATGCACAAAGTTTCTCTCCCTTCGTGACGAAATTAACATTTCCACTTCGATTTGTTTAATAAGCCGATAGAATGCGCCAATAGACGATACGATTCATTCTCGTATACAGCAAGCAATCAGCAACATTCGAGCTCCGTAACAATAAGGAATAATAATCATAATATAATGATCGTCCGTAATAATAATAATAATCATCGTCATCATTATTTCCGTTAACGATATGTTAGCCTAGTCCGTATAAACACAGCGACATCGAAACATCGTTTATATTATGTGAAATTAATTCATATTTATGTATATAACATACATATATATAATATATATATAAAACATTTGCAAAAAAATCACAGTTACTTAAAACACCTTATCTTCCCATTCTCTTCTTTCTTCCAAGCTCTCCCTTTCTCTCACACACGCACAATCTTTCTTTTTCTTTGACACTCTCCGTCTTACATTTCGCACTTACGTTTACACATACACACGTTTCTTTTTTTTTGCATCTATGTATAGACGACGTATCGCGGGAACAAACCCACTTTCGATTATTAAATTAAATAAACAAAAGGGCTATCGTAGCCAATTTTGCAGAACCCTTTATGCCTATCTTTTTCACAAAACTTATTCGCAAGGAGTTGCTTTGCAAATAAATTTCGGCTATCCCGTTTCAATTGTTAATGTTCTAATATAATTTATAATATTTAGTCACGATTAAAATATTGTACTTAATTAACAAATTCTCGATATTTTTTCTAATTCTGCCGATCTCCAGTTCTTCATATGTTGTGTATTGCAAACTGAAGGATTCTGTAGAAATGAGCGTCTTTCCACAAGAAATACACAATTTCAACACTACAAAAAGAAAAACAAATCAGTCCGTAATGACTTCGATCAGACATGGAAATATTTTCGTGGAAGAAAATCGTGTCGAGGCAGTGGCACAACATCGATGTAACAATAATCAGGATTTCTTAAGTACTATTGGCGATTTCACAATGTATTCGCTACTTTTAGATTAGAACATGTCCGATTTCTAATTATTGGTTTCTTTTCTACGAAATAATTCGTAATGATGAATTCAGAATTCCAGTTTATAATATCGACAAGTTCCCGAAGCTATGAACCAAGTTAATACTCTTGGCTCTTAATGTTTTAATAATTCGCAACTAAAACCCACTAAAAGTTTCATTTATCAAAGTTATAAAACTATTTTTTGTTAATCTTCAATCTGTAACTATACAAGAAAATTTTCTATCGTTTCATATATATCTCTCTCTTCAGAAGAAAGAAATGTGTATGCATTTAGTTAATTGGTTTTTAGGGATCGAAATTCACCTAAGCTATTGTAAACTCGTGTTACAATTACCGTTGCTCGAATATCAAACAATCGATTTAATTACACGGCAGTGTTGGCACAAAGCGTAAACATTGGCTGTCTTTATCGGAGAAAAAGGAAAATTTACATTAAAATACAGTCCTAAGCACACGCAAACAAAGCGCTTTTGTCCAGCTGGATCTGCGATTTGAATCACTATGGCGGCCGTCGGAAATAATAATTAATAACTATTACCAATAATTTACACTTAATCCCTCAAATATGAATCACTGCTTCTCTCGTCTCGGAATAAACTAAAACACGCTGTAGATAAAAATTGAAAGATATATGTATATATATAAATACATATTCTTAATTTTTATGTACATATCAAATCTGAAAAATATACCGCATATGATAAACATATATTATTATATTATTATATACACATAATGGTAATAACGTGCAGTCTGAGATAGTCGCGGGATATATATGTATAATTATTAATTTTGGGCAATCGTGAGTCACGCCGCCCGAGACGTTTGAGAGATTAATGAACGAAAGAATGAACCTCATAGTGAGTACTTGTGATAGAAATACCTAGAATAAGATTTTTGCGCGCTACTGTCCGCTTGGTAAGCTGAGGACAGAAAAGCCAGTGACGATGGCAGTAAACGTTTGCGACTCGATTCGCCGGAAGTCAGTCGACCGGGCAGATATTAGCGATTTTTGTTGATGCTTCACGATTGTTTGTTCTCTTCTAAACGAAAACGTATACTTAACAAACGATTGCACTATAGAGTTCAAATATTCTACAATTGAAGAATGCAATATGAATTCACCATAAATCTATAACATTATACATAATTTAAACGTCGTTAACATTAAAAGGAAGATGTTTCAATCAATATTGATTTCTTATCAGTTTTTCAATCTGACAGCTTCAAAATTTAACGATACAAAATTCGTTAGAATCGCGATAGAATTCAACATTGTATGTCTCGAAAACTTCATTGTCAAAATAGTATTAATAAAAAAAGTTAAAATTTTATTGTAAAATTGTAGAAAAAAATATGAGCGTAAAAAATGTCGGTCAAAAACAGTTAATATATACCAGCAACTGACTCCAGGTGATTGATAACGAGACAGATGGCTGACAAAACATTGATCAGTAACTTCATTAGCGCTATGAGTATGTACAAAACTTTATATATTACATTCTGATCCGTCGTTAATCCAAGCGTTCGCGGTAAGTTAGTGTTGACCCGCATATGTGACGTAAGAGTGTTAGCTCTTCAGTCATTAGTGGGATTAGTAGCAACAACCGTCATGCTAAGAGAAAAGAAGCGTATGTTGAAATCACCGGAAATTTCAAAGATGCGAAATCTACTTCAATTTTGAATGAAATGATCGCAGAGTTAAGATCCAAACATTTAAACTTGTCGCGAAAGAGAACGTTTTACGAGAAGCGTACATTGATGAGAAATGTTGAACGAGTTTCAAGGTGTTATTAATTACTGATAGATGCACACGCACACACATACACACACTTTCTCTCTCTCCCTCTCTCGCCGCGAGCGCTTCAATTATCACGCTGACGGATGCTGGTTAGTAAGGAATGGTTGCCGGAAAACTTCCCTTAGGAAAGAACGTTGACTTCGCGGGGCGAACCACAGACGTTTAACACGCTGCTGGTTGAATTAGGCGTGATTTGACTTCGAGCCTCGTTTTGGGCCTGCCGTATCGCCTCCTTGTACGGACCGCGCTTCTTTTTGTTATATCGCGTCTGGAATAAAAGATTCATAATTACCTGACAAATTTCCAAAAGATGTTACTATGAGAAGTAATGGAACGATCAGAGTAGATTCTAAATTTCGTATCTTTTATCCTATGAAACAGTATCAATTATTCATTATATTTTACTTATTTATTGTACTTATTTTTATTATTATTATTCATTATTTGAATGTGCACACCTTAAAGGATTCCAGAAAGGGACTTAATTGATCACAGGACATTAGCGAACTCGTTGACGATCCATACCAAGCCACATGAGCTTGAGGACCCGATGAGGTACCGTCTTCCTTGCAAGATAATGTAATACTCAACACCTGCGCATAAACATTGATGACAGGATACTATAGATACTAAATTAACGATGCTTGTTGCAACTTGTTCTACATTAAGGACTTATTAAGATTATCGTATAATCAACGTTTTTGGAATATCTTGAGCGTACCTTGCCGGGCCACCAGGGAAAGCCGTGGATTTTGCCCCATACGACGTCGCCCACGTCCATCCGCCTGCCGTTGGCCGTAAGACAGTGAGCCACGGAGGTGGCAGCTAAGCGCATGACCAGAGGATGCGACTGATGGGGTGGAAAATCTGGCGCGGTCTCTACTTCGGGTTCGTGTTCGCTCAACTCGTCGCTACTACCGCCAGAACTCTTGCAGCCGGAGGACGCGTTGCTCACGGGATAATCACAACGCGCGTACGCATTTGTGTTCAGCCTCTTCAGGGATATCGACAGCTTCTGTTTCAGGCACTGCTCCTTGATGGCTCTGTAGGATTCACCGCCGCCCGGTAAGACATTCCAATTCTGTTGCTGCTGCTCTTGTTGCTCCTGCTGCTGCTGCTTCTCCTCCAGTTGTTGCTGCAACTGCTGCTGAGGTTGTTGCACGGAATCCAAACAAGATTGTTCAGATTGCGGTTGTTCCTGTGGCTGATTCTTATGCTTCCTGCCCTCCTTGTGCTTCTTTTTATGCTTTACCTTGTGTTTCCGGCGATGATATGAGAGCGGATCATACGTGGGGTTGTATCTAGATAAAATAAAATAGCGATAAATTGGCAAATTCTTGAACAATGCGGCTTCTTAAGTGGTAATTTTTAATATACAGCAAAATACATTTTATAAATTAGTCATGTATTTATGTATATTATATATTGTAAGAAAATATTTTAAAAAATTAAAAAATACCTACAACATTCACAACTGTGTAAATCACAGCATTGTTTGAATTTACATAATTTTCACTCGATATAATCTTACCTCGGCGATCCGTTGCAAGGCGATCTCGCTGGCGAGACTCCGCCCAGCATCTTTCTCCTAGCCTCTTTCTTGGCCTTCTTTAGAGCCCGTTTCGCCGCCTTCGCACTGGCGTCCTTCACCACGCCGCCCTGTTTCTGAGGATCCACCTGCTCCTGTCCGTCCTCCTCGCCCTCGTAATCGTCGCCGAAGGATCTGGGCAGCTCCAGAGGATCTCTCTCTTGCTGAGTGTCATCAGCGTCGTCCGTCTCTTGCTCGTACGCGTCAGGATCCTGAGGTTTCGCGGGTATCTTGAGAACGGTCCCTTCGCCCTGTGCACCAAACGAGATCTTGATCACCGGTGTGGTCCTGGCGGTTCTCGTGGGATCTTCGAACACCGACTCGTCCCAGAGATCCTCCATCGAGCCCACCGAGCGCTTCTTTCTCGGCACTCTACCGGTTCTCAGTCTCATCGTCGAATCCGCAGCCGCGAAGGTCTTCTTGTCCTCCTCTTCAGGAACCTTCGCGCTCTCCACCGACGAACTGCTGAGTCTTCTCGGCGTGGCGCAATAAGCCGTTGAGGGATTATTGTCGCAATCAGCGGTAGACTCCACCCGTTCCTGTGACGACGCCAGCATGGCGTTCCTTAAGGACGCCTCCTCTTCGTTTCTGACAGGCCAATGTGAAGACTGAGCGCTCGCCGCGACTTTCACTTTGTCTGAAACAATTGTCCACAGTCTTCAGAACTAGCTCAGATCAAGATCGTCTTTTCAATTAAATTTCCTTAATTCATTATATATAATTAACTTTTTATCTTACTTTTTTACATATAAATAAGTCATTTATTTCATAACAACAAAACAATATTAAATACTAAAACTTGTAGTAATATGTTTCAAACAGCACAAAAAGTTTAATTCTCAATATTTGAGCTTTGCTTCCATTGATATAACTCATTTTTATTTCAACCGCCGTACATAATTTGTATAATGTATGCTCTCTAGGTTTATACGCATACGTAAAACATGAAATTAACTGACGTCATTATATCATCAGAAAATTAAATGCCTCGCAAAAGCAAGTCATCTACTGCGGGAAAGTGAATTCGGAGTTGGTTACGTTTTCTTATACAGTTAACTCGCGACAGAATCGCAATATATCTTTAACTTTTCGAGTCGTTCTTATATTCTCTCTGGTAATGGTACAAATAACGTTAAACTCCAACGAAAGAGTAGCGCCGCGCAAACGTACCAGGCCCCTGAGTCGCGTTGCTGATCTCGTTGGGCTGCAATCTCGACAGTTTTGGAATCAGCGACGCTCCCAGCTTCGACGAGTCATTACTCGAGCTTGTCTTCGTTGTCGCTTGATTGGAGATTGCGCTTTCCGTCTGGCATTCTGACAACAACGTCCGCTGAGTTTTCTGCGGTTGCTGACCGCAACGTCGGTCGCTTCTTCTCGTGGCCCCCGGGATCAGCTGGTGGAATCAGCAAAGAAAATTGTTACATTTTTGTTCAACAATTCGGTCGGAACGTTTATAAATCGCGTAACGATTTCGATGGAATCCCTGGAAGCCCGACAAGTTTAGCGTTGCCTAAAAACGAGCGATCGTTCTTGGAGCTTTAAAAACTCGGTGGACCGACGTGGTCCACGTTAACATGTTCTCGACGATACGAGGGTCTTGAAACATCAATTTCATGCTTACGACTTCGGAGTCTTTTGCTTTCGAGTATTTCACAATTTGTGGATTAACACAGCAATGTAATTTCCATCTTCGAAGACACGGTGGGAAGCGAACGTTCGGTCTACGTATAAACGGGACGGTCCTATACGCGTGTACTTCCTAAGCAATATTCGCGGTACCTGCTGCGACTGCTGTTGCTGCTGCGCGTCCTCGTGCTTTCGCTTCCTGCTGACGTCGACGTTCTCGCTGTTCTCGTTGCAGATCGACCGGCACTTGCTGCAGAGCACCTGGCGCGGCCTCAGTCTCACCGTAGGCCTCGCGTTCTTGTACCTAGCGGGCGGATTGATGCTCCTGCGGAGGTCGACCTTGGCAACGACGGTGGCCGCCGACGACGACGACGCGCTCCTTTTCTCCTGGAAGTAGCTGAAGCGTGCCGCGATCGTCGCCAGTTTGTCGCCATCGGGGCCCGGCACCGGCTCCGGGGGCTGAACGCCGCACGGGAGGCCCCTGCAGGAAGGTGATCATTCGGAGTGAGAGCGTTTCGCGAGAGTCTAAGACCCGGTTGCACCAACGTCGCTTAACTTTAACTTTAATATTTCTAAGGGAATTATTTCTAAGGGAAACAGAAAGAGACGAAGAGTGAATTAAGCCTAAGGCCCGGTTTCACCAACGTCGCTTAACTTCAAGCCTAGCTTAATTCGTTCTTTGTCTCTTTCCAACTGTTACTCTAGAAAGAGATAAACGTGAATTAAACTAACAAATAACACTACCCAAATGTTACACGCTGATTTTTTTTGAAACTTTGCACACTTGTACAACTTTGAAAAATATTGCACCCCTATTTTTTATATGTGCTCATAAAGCATTTTAAGGATAGAAACTACCCTTGAAATATTGACCCTTTCAATTCCATGTACACAGCAATTCTATAGGCCGTGTACGCTATCTCGAACAATTCTTGCACTACAGAATACTATATCTAGGAGTTTTCAGAATCGTCGATTACGAATTGCCGTACATGGAATTGAAAAGGTCAATATTTCGAGGGTAGTTTCTATCCTTAAAATGCTTTATGAGCACAAATAGAAAAATAGGGGTAAAATATTCTTCGAAGTTGCACAAGTGTGCAAGGTTTCAAAACAACAAAAATCGGCGTGTAACACTTGGGTAGTGTTAGTTGTAAGATTAAAATTGAGCGACGTTTGGTGAAACCGGGCCTAAATCGATGTCTGAACTCCGGCCGAGAAAATAATGACGTCTTATCGATATTTCGATCGTTACGAATGTCCTATTGTCCGCCGAGACCCGGCGATCTCAACCGCGCCGCTACCTTGGGGACTTCGCCTCGAGACCGCTCGGCCACTCTTGATCGGGCTCCTATTTTCGCACGTAGCGACGGATTCGCCTTGCATAAACGCGAATCGATAACACACGAGAAAATTGGAGAGGGTTCTCTCGCGTTCCTTTATGAGAGTGCTCGGTGCAACGCCGAGTCTCTCGACTCTCCTCGACACGAAATGTGTCTATGCCGCGGGAAGTATTATATTTTAGATTTCGGAGTGACGAGGGAAAAAGTAGACCCTCGGAGCGCGATGCGGTAACAGATAAATTAAATATTCACGCGTTTTCCGGCTAGCGTAAGGAGAGTATAAAAACTTAATTGTACGTTGCATAATTAATGCAACTGGGGGGGGGGGGAGGGGGAAGATACCATACAAAATTCGTTCAGTATTCATAATCTGCAAGAGACGCTGACTTTTGTATCGCATCGCAAATCAAAGTTAAATGAAATTGACTCGCGCGCGTTCGTCTCTCGAGGCCTGGCTTTTCCCTCATTGCCCCCCCCCCTCAATTTTAATATCGAGCCTCCGCAGTTAATTGATCATTTATTTCAGATTTGCCTCTCTCGGGGAGAGAGAGAGAGAGAAGCGACTAATCGACGCACCGACTTCCACCGTCGAAAATGACAAATGGCTCGTTCTCTCAAGACCTGATTTTACTCGGGACCCGAGTCCTCCCTAGATTCCCTCGCGACTTCGGGGGGGGGGGATTAACTTTGCTACGTGCGTCGGCTACGAGCGAGGCCTCAGACCGTCGTCGCGCCGAGGCTCCCGACAGAAACCGACGTGAAATGAGAATGGCCGGGCAGAAGATTGGGCAACGCTTTCGGGTAATGCCTCGTCGGCTTCCCGTGCACCGACAACGCGGCCATGTCATGGTATTGATTCGGGAGAGGCGCGTACAATGAGCGACAGCCTCTGACAGTGTATCCATTAATATTTTCTGGGCCCCGGCGCGAGGCAGACCGACTCGAAATTCCGAGGCGGCCGCGCGCGAGCGCGGCGGAAGAAAAATGGCCGGCAGGGAATATCGGGAATCAGCACAGACTCGCCACGACGTGAAAATGATCGCGATGGAACTGATAAATTGAACGTGGGGGGGGAGGGGGCGTCCGGCCCGCTTACCCAATTTGTAACGCGAATTTGCCACACGAAGATCCCCCGCGGCCATATAAATTCGTCGTCCTGGAATTATTCAAATTTCCCCCCCCCCCCCCCCCTCCGCTCCCGTATTCTAAAATCGTAAATGCGGGCCCGCGCGTAATCTCCGCAGCTTGGCTCGCGATTTGCATTTTTAACCGAGCCTCGATCTATCGGCGAGCCACCGCGCGATCGAATTCCCGTTAATCCACGAACGGCCGCGGTTAGATTCTAATTTGTTTTTCCCCCGACGTTCCCCAATCATCTCGTTAAAAACAACTGTAACAACAACTGGCTCATTTCTTAAGTTAATAAAGCAGCCGGTTAACGTGGGGCCGCGCCACGGCGCTTGGTATACGTGGCTGTCTCTCTGCTTTGTGTCCACGCACACATCCGCAGTTTCGACCCGCAAATGGTGGCGTTCTCAGAGACGTCGACGATATTCCCTTTGTTCCTGACGAACACGAGACCACTATATTGGAGGTTCTCAACCTTGGATCGCCGCACAGCTGGGACGTATACATTTTGGCTCGACGTTGGCCAGATCGATAAATACCATTCCCCAGACTAATAAATTCATGTCCTTGGACTGTCATCCACCAATTTAGTCATCGATTCGCAGCCGACCTTTCTTAAATGCGGATTCAATGGCGCACGCAGTTCGCATCAAAATTCCCTCCCCCCAAAAAACGAGGCTCGCTCGAAATTAACGAAGAATTACGTTGATACTTGAAAACAAGTCAATACTCTCGTTGCAATTGAATCTCAGCAGTTCCACGATCGCTCGAGTATGCTTCGAGAAATCCTTTCAGAAGCTAATCTCTTTAGGAAGAAAAGAGAGTTAATCTCCTTGAATGCGGAAATTGCCGAGAGACCAGCGATTATTCGCTGCATGTAAATATTTCATCGCGTCTCACGAAATTCTTCGAAGTCGCTTTTTCCAGAATGAAATGGGAAGACTGTCGAATTTCTTTTATTGCACGCACAGCGCGGAAAAGTATGGGAACCTCTATCGCACCATACCGTCGTGCACAACGTGACACAAGCCAGGCCTCGTTGGTCGGTGGCCCCGACTAGCATTCAGGGCCGTAAACAGCAACTTTACCGTCCCCGGGTCGCCCATCTTCCCTTATCTAGCTCGAGTAAAATTTTACCAAAAGTGTCACGAATATTACAATACAATTGGCAAAAAAGTTAATTAACGCTAAAACACCACCAACAATGTTACTCCGAACGTCAATCGGATCATATCTTGCCGTAACAAAGATACGAAAGTGAACGAGGGGGGAAGCAAATGAACGGCGAGCAATAAGAATTCGATATTGGATATTTTACCGAAAAATTAATTATCCAGGCTGTTCGCTGACCGGTTGGACCGCAGACGACCCTTTCGACCCTGCTTACAGCCCTGCCAGGCATGGTTGTGCAATTGCGACACGGGGCGGCCATTGGCCGGTCCGGCTTGGACAAGAAAACCTAGGGCGTGGGGTAAGAAAACGGGCAACAGCTGTTCGGCCACAGCGACGAGCCCGGCCGCGGGCTCGCTGCCCCCCGAGAAAAGTGCGCTGAGAAAAAAGACAACTGCCCGAGGACGGGCAAAACTAGCGATTGCACGAGCAAAATTGCCACCCGGACTAAACAGGGGGACGCGCTCTGAGCGGGGGATCCGCGGCGGCGATTGACATCGATCGAGATCGGGGGGGACCGGCGCGATTTCGGAGTCATCGAAATTGCACCCCCGATCGCCACGATGGAGTCCAACAAATTGGATAATTGCGCGACGCTGAACGAAAACGAGCTTGCCCGCCAAATAATGGCCTTCGAAACCGGAAACGGTTTAATACCCATTTTAATTAGAACGCCCGACGATTTTAGTTAATTAGTAGTAAAATTCGATTCGCCCCGCAATAACATATAATCAAGCGCGATAAGCCACAATGGCGCCATGGTAAAACTTTAATAATGGAATTTATTAAGTTGATTAATCGCATTCGGCGAACTCGGCTGGTTGTAGCATTCGAGTAAATTCAGTCGAAGCTTTCCCACGCGTTATTAGCCCGGCTATACGTAGGGGCGCGCCTTTCATAAGTTCGTGCATTAACCAGTGTTGTCTGCGACAACAGTGGTCAACTAGCACGTAACGACTACTTAGTTGATTTCCCAATAATCGAAATGACTGCTCGTATCAAAGAAGTTGGCAACGGCTGTATTACGAAGGTGGCGTTTACTATGCGAGACTATGAGTCACCGAAGCCAAGTCTTTTTACCATGTACCGGGTGACGCGAAACTTACGTTACGTTTATCCATAGTGTAACCGTAGTATAACTAGTAGGTCCACTCCGTCATTTGTTTCGTTCTGCGTCGATCCCTCCTGCGCAACCGACATTTCGTTGGCGCAGCCAATGAGAGAAAGGTTGTACGTTGGGTAGTGTAGCTTGGCGAGTACAAACACATGCGTACATGTATGTACGTACACATTAAGGGCCTGAGCAGAAAGATTGTCGTAACCATTAACGATTCTGTCGTAAGACTTAAGTCGGTGTCATAAACGTATGTCGCATTGGGATGCGATGACTGCGACATACATCTACGACACTTCTTTGTGCATTGACTTCCGACATCGACTTGCGTCTTACTACGGAATCGTAAACACTTACGACAATCTTTCTGCTTGAGTCCACTAGATACCATAGTATAAAGGCAACGGTACACGATACTATTTTTCCTACTGGATTGCTTGCAAAAGCCAATCAGGATGTAGCCTTAGGTCACCTGGTCTAAAACTCTGCATCCTTATTGGTTCTCGTAAGCAATCCAGTAGGAAAAATAGGATCGTGTACTTTTGGCTTAAAACTCTGCATCCTTATTGCCTCTCGTAAGCAATCCAGTAGGAAAAATAGGCCCATACTCTGCTGGATTTGCACCAAGGACATGGCGAAATACCACGTAATCGGGACCGCATAGATCAAAGAGACCGGCAGAGAGTGGACCTAGTAGTTAAGCCAACGGTACACGATACTATTTTTCCTACTGGATTGCTTATGAGAGCAAATCAGGATTTGGCCTTAAGTCGCCTAAACTAAAGCCAACGGCACACAATACTATTTTTCCTACTGGATTACTTACGAGAGCCAATCAGGATTCACTTTTGAGTCACCTGATCGAAAACTCTGCATTCTGATTGGCTCTCGTAAGCAATCCACTAGGAAAAATAGTATCGTTTGATGTACATGGTAATACAAAAAGATTAAGTTCTTTCGTTCAACGTCATGGTGAACTCAAAATAACGATTTAGTCACTAAAAATTTAAAGTAATAATACTACTTGCTAGATATTTAATATAATCTACACTAATTAGCCACTAGCATTTGACTCAGTTTAATGAACCAGTTTTCTACACGGGATGGTATCTAGTGGGTCTACTAGCTTCTCATTACGTTCTTACTAGTTTCTCTCTAGTGGATCTACTGGTTATACTATGAAAATTTCGGTTTCGAGACAACAAGCGGATTTGGAATAAACAGTTTCGAGCAACACGTTGATAAACCATGGTATAACTAGTAGGTCCACTCCGTCATTTGTTTCGTTTTGCGTCGATCCCTTCTGCACATCCGACATTTTATTGGTCCAGCTAATGAGAGACAAGTTGCACGTGTGGTAGCTTTGACACACTACCATACATACAACTACAGTACGTATACACACATACGCCGTTGGATTTGGACCAAAGACATGGCGAAATACCACGTGATCGGGACCGCAAAGATCAAAGGGGCCAACAGAGTGGATCTACTAGTTACACTATGGTTTATCAACGTGTAGCCCGAAACTGTTCATTCCAAGTCCGCTTGTTGCCTCGAAACTGAAATTTCATTGACCGGGAAGGCCCTGCTACCAATCATTTACTCGTCGATCTCGCGTCCGTTAATTGCGGACGATCCTCGCGTTCGATTTATAACAACGATAGTTTAATTGGCAATTCGATTCCGGCGCTTTTCGCGCGAAGGGAATTCCAATAATCGACGGTCTTTCGTTGAATTATCGCCGAGAGGAATTTCCACGTGTCGGGTCCGCCATCGAGGGCAAGCGTGCGACCCGCGGGACACCGGGTATACGTAATTACACGCACACGCGAGTGGAGGGGGGGAAAAAATGGGTGGAGGATGTAATATCTCATTTATATGACGACTTCGCGACAACCGGAGTCATGTGAAATTTAACGAAACTCCTGGCTTCCACGCCCATCGCTGGCGCCGGCAAGGGACGTGCGTTACGCACTTCCTATTAAAATACAGATAAGTTATCAAAATTATCGAGGGAGAGAGGGGGGGGCTTTCGGCACTTGGACCTATTTGCGTCTCCGAGGAAACGAGAAATATCTCGCGCCATGTTCGCGCATAAGCTCGCGCAAGCTTCGCGCTATCGTAGAAGCCGACGGGCGTCGCTCGCCGTCGGACGGCGCGGCCTCGCCTCCGCGACTTCCGCGGCAACTTAACCCCGTGAATCGCGAATAATTTAAATATCTCGTATCTTTAATATTGCGCTTCGACGCTCCAAAGCCGGAATCTCAGAGCTGAAAAGCCTTCCGACCCAAATATCAGCTTGGACGTTTATAGAAAGTTAAAAGTGATAGGGAAGCGTTAATGAGGCATTAATTCCGGAAACGAAGTGCATACGTAAGAGTTGGAAAGTTTTTTTTCCCCCTAAAAAGAGCCTCCTACATAAGGTCCTAAAAATAATTGGTGCATCAACAGCATCTGATTATTTCTAAATATCGAATCGACGCGTTTCAATAAAAAGACAATTTTTGAAAAACTTGTTACACTAGTTTTTTTTACAGATACATGTGTATTCCGTAAAAGTGATGGGTTTCCTTGCCGATTCACGATCTGTATCTTTGTCTCATGAATGAGACATGCAGTAATAGGCTCGGAAGAGAGATCCTTGAGCTCCGCGAATGCTACGCTAGAAAGTGCCGAGGGTACTTTTGTGTAACCGCCCAATTTTAGATCGATTATGTAACGACTCCTTGGGATCCTGGCGTAGACCTTTGCAGGATTGACTCTGTTCCAGGTACCTAAATCCAAGTTGAGAAGAATTTTCACATGTCGCACCCTGGAATCCCGACGATTGAAGATTGCGAGTTAAAAGCCCGTATCAGATTAGGGATTGAGATTGATATTAGATTGAAATTTGACCAACCAAAGTAAAGTTTACTAACATCAAGTTTAACGAATGTTACTCCGATTGATCACATTTCAATCTAATCTCAATACCAATCCGTGGTCTGATTCAGGCTATACGTCGCAACCATTCGCGTACCAATGGAACATCGATCATAGATCATTTCGCTTTTTATCGCGATCCTTACTTGCCTGTACAGTCGTGGTCAAAAAGGTTGTCCGACGTTTAACGATAAATTTCGGAAATACAGTCTATCGTACGAAAGATTACGGCTTTTGATCACGGATATGTGCAGCGACGCATTATTAGAACAAAGGAATGATACGTACGAGTATCTATGCAAGAACACTTACGAATATTCCGGAAACTTATTGTAAAACGTCGGACGACCTTTCCGACCACAACCGCACTTTAGTCCTAGCTTGTGCGACAATTTCAGAAGATACTCAGATTCGTGAAATCGAAGATAAGCACCGCCATGAAGAATTTCCACAGCTGTGCAATCTGTAATATTTCGGCGACCTTGAATCGCACGCTACTCGAAACCGAGTTTCGTCAGACTCTTCGCGCTCCAACATCTCAGGCTCGTTGTGCAAAAGAATCAAACCCGCAAAAGGGCACGGTTAGCATTTGCCTCTCGAACACGAGGCAGTCCCTCGCAAAATTATTCGCGCTGTAGTCTCGAAGAAACGATGCGAATCAACTAGCATTCGAGGATTTGCATCCTTGTATCTTTCTAACTTTTACAACTCTCGGTATCGAGACGCCTACGTGAAGCCGAAGGAAATAACAGCCGCGGAGTGGCACGAAAGAGCCTAGTCATTAATATCCGGTTTGACAAGCAATTGTCACGTTGCCTGAAAACGCGAACTTGCGCGCGGCGCAGGGGAGACTTTGAAGATCGAGAAGTTCCCGCAGATCCGTTTTCGAGTTTCTGACTTCCGGCGGGATTACTCAGGATCAAACATCTCGAGAGTCCCAAGTGGACGAACCGTGAATGGCCTTAGTCATCGACTTTTCTATTGGACATTCCATATGTATTCGTCATTCTGTTCACAAATAGCAAGTAACTTGGAACCGACCGAATTTCCGAAGACACACATTGCTCTCGAGTCTCCGGAAACACAATCCAGGGCTCCCGGGGATTAACGAGACAACTTAGTCTTCAACATTTGGTGTAATAAGTGACCAGCATCGATCAACTTCCCGCAAAACCTGTTCCCGACGGACCCCGAGATGATCGCCAGATCGATGAATCAGCTCAGTCTCGAGCACTGTTCGGCACATCGGCCGTCGGGAACCTTTGACTTCGGCGACGGGACCCGCATAAGGGCGACTTTTACTTGAGATTTTCTCAAAGCCGGTGGGTGACAAGCTGAACATTGTTCCGATGACGGAACAAAGGTCCTCGGTAAGAAGTACAAGATAATAAAAAAAAAAGGGGACAGCTCACAACACGAGGTCTTTCATATCGCTCTCTCTCTCTTTCCGTTTCCCTCTCACCCTCTCTCTCTCTTTCTCTCCTGCGTGTTTCTCTTTCCATTAATCTTACCTCTTAGCGGCGTCGAGGAGCGCACCTTGGAAGCACTTGGCGCCATGGACGAAAGATACCACGAGGATGTCGGGCAGCGCGGACTCGACGGTCACGAGGATCTTGTTGCCCGTGGCGAGCGCGAAGTGCGCGGACGGGGCCTCCGTCGCCGCGGCCGCCATCTTGCCTCGAATTTAGAGTTATTGCGAGCGAGCGTGCGAGCGAGCTGGTGATGTGTGGTGTGGTGTGGGCTTTGCGCTTTCCGCTTCGCTCCGCTACGACCGCGCCGACCGAGAGGAGCGAGCGGCTCGTCTCGTGCCGTCGTCGTCGTCGCCGTCGTCTCGTGCGCCGCGCCGCTCCGCGCCGCGACGCACCGCCCCTTGTTTCTTTCTCTCTCTCTCTCTCTCTCTCTCTTTCTCTCTCCCTTTTTCCCTCTACCTCCCTCGCTCTCGCTCGCTCGCTCGCAGTCTGTCCGAACCGGATGACGTGAGGAACGACGGCTGCGGCTGTGTGCGAAGACCGCGTGAGGCGGGCGGCGAGGTTCCACGGCCAGGGGGCTGGAGAGGGACAAAGTGCTGGCTGGCAGGTAGAAGGGGAACCTAGCAGTCCACACAGCTGGCTGCGCCGCCGTCCCCAATGCGCCTGCGCGCGCTGGAGGCGGCCCGTCACGCCAGGGCTGTGTGTACACGCGACGGGCGCTTCGCGGGGCACCTCGGAGCCACGCTAATGATCGTACACACCTAGGCTTGGAAACGACATCGAATTTCGAGTGGCGAGGATGTCCTCCGTTAGGCCGCGTTCAGAAACGTTACCCGAGTGCCCCGGTATATCATTTTATCCTTGTTTAACATACGGCGAGCAACAAGGATAAAGTGGCTCCGGCGACGTTTCTGAACGCATCTTTAATCCTTAACTTATCGTCACTGTGCGTCGCTGCTGTTGAGGGATGCGTGCAAGAAAACAGATTTATGCTACTTCTGTCTCTGTCTCGTATATGATATCTAGAGTCCTAAATGCAATAGCGAATTCGATTGTTTGCACTAGTGCGCACTGAATGCACACTAAGGCCAGTTTATAGTCAATTTTTATATTTAACTTTGTCTTAAATATATGTTCAAAGAGTATTTAGTCAAAAAGTAATCCGTATGGATGCTAACAAATCATTTTATTGGCTATGAAATATCTCAAGAAACATTTAAGACGATTCTTAAATATAAGAATTGACTGTAAACAAGCCTTAGTGCGCACTCAGTGCGCGTTAGAGCAAGCAACCGAAATCGCTATAAGAGAAGCGCAATCGTTACCCCCTCCATGCTTCTCATAGTCGCGTATTCTACTCATACGTGATCGCGATTGGTCAATTTCTTAAGGCTTAGGGCTTAAATCATCTATCGTAAACCGAGACTAAAGTCAACGGCACACGATACTAATTTTCTTACTGGATTGCTTACGAGAGCCAATCAGAATGCAGAGTTTTCGATCAGATGACTTAAGGCTGAATCCTGATTGGCTCTCGTAAGGAATCCAGTAGGAAAAATGGTATCGTGTGCCGTTGGTTTAATTCTCTGACTTTATCAAGTCCTCGATTCTAATCGAAATAATGTGACATTAGACTGCACTGACACCACCGCGGAACAATGTTGTAAACGGTATGAACGCGGCCTAGCGCGACTTCCCCCATCGAGGGGCGCGTTCGCCGGTGCCAGTAGCGTAGCGAGGGGGTCTCGTCGCGCGAGTCATCGCTCCTTTTGGATTCGGCGCTCGTCGCACCGTCCCTCGGCTCGGCACTTGTCGACACCCGAGACAGAACGGCCGGGAACGGCCGAGCGCGACTCCAAAGGCGGCGTGTGCACCACGGGTAGGGTGAGTGACTGGGATTTATGCTTTAATAAAACGTTGCATAAGCGCTCCGGGGCGACGCGAGTGCAGCGAGGGCGGCTTATTCTTATCGGGGCTCGTTTGCGGCCCCGCGACAGCGGCGTAAGCCTGGCCCTCTCCGTTCTCTATATGCCGTTGACATTTAATGTTAAAAAGCGACATGATAGCCCGAGTCGTCGGTTGATTTGACCACTGCGGTGGTTGTGCCGGTGCACCCTACCGAAAACTGGGTCGTCGCCGCTTCGACCGCGACTTTTCCGAGAGCGCGAAGTCGATACAGGCGGTGACGAGTGCTGGAAGAGATAAAAGTGATGCACGAGAAATACGTTGATAATGGGGAAAAGAATGCGGAGTGTTGTGTCGACGCTTGTTAAGCCGCGCTCACACATCCTCGCTAAAGCCTAATCTGCAATGTGCTCTTTCTATTTTGTAGCCAATAAGATGGGTTTAAAAAATTTGCGCAGGTTGACAAATTGTACAATTACATGTTGTTCGGTCGTACGTTGTCGACGAATTTTTTAAAGCGTTTTGATTTGCTTATACTAAAACCGAATGTTTCCAGACGCAAAGCACACATTGTATGTTAGGCGCGACAGCTGCTAATAGCTCAAGATCGTTCACGCCACATAACAAGATGGGGAAAAAATCCCGTTACAAATCGTACGGTGTCCTAGTAAAAAAAAAGAGGACAGAATTTAAGGAACGCGAGGAGAGTCCTATATGCAAATTAAAATTTTCGATAGCAGCAAAAGAAATTTACGTTGATTAAAATTTGTTCGACTGAACTAAATTGGTTAAAGGCGATATAAACGCAGAAGTAGGTTCTTCGTTTATTTTGCTCAATTAATTATTATATTTGGTCCTATTGCTTTACGTTTTTACTTGACCCGATTGATGAAAAGTGTGCAGGGGCCCTCGGGATGCGTGATACGTTCCTGAGCAATTACAGCTCGCATTGAATGATTAGCGGCAACATATGAATGGCACAACACCGATAATGCGCAATGACGCTTATCTATCAATTCCATCTTGACGTCGCAAACGGCTCGACACCGCTCCGGCTTTCGCGGGCTCTCCCTTTTGCTTTATTTCTTGCGTATGATCGCTCATCGGATTTGTTTCACCGTCGGAATTTCAATCGTCGTTTCGATACAATCAGCACTTAATCTAAAGTTTTCTCACACAATAGATCGTCCTAATCTGCAACGCGTCTTAAATTGCATGCGAGCAAACATTATCATTCGACTTGCAGCCCAGATAGCGTGAGCACAAGTTGCTTTCATATTGCTAACAAAAATGCGAGGGGGAAACCGCTGACCAAAATCTTGTACACCAATGCCCACTGATGCCCAGTGGGCATTACTTTATCTTATTATCTTCTTTTATCTTATTTATCTTGTTTTATCTTATTTTATCTTATTTTATCTTTATAATGCCTCAGCAAGACGTAATGCCCCAAAAATGCCCTAGTAATGCCCGGTAATGCCGCAAATCTGTACACCACAATGCCCTCAGCGGTTTCCCCCTCGTTAACACCCAGTTAGCACAAGACACTCCTATGAACATTTGAAGAATATTCTTCAAGAATACTTGGAATATTTCATAGGTCATTCTTACATATGTATCTTATGTTCGTGGAAGATTTGACTACTATAAATCTTTTTCGAATGTGAATAATCTATCGAATATATATGATATGACCACAGGTCCCTCCCACTGTCTTTTGCATAAGATAAGTGTATTACATAATAAACCATGTGCAATACATAAACTCGATGAATATTAAAAAATTATTCTGAACGAATGCTCCAAAGACATTCTCGACGAATATTCTAAAAACGTTCTTCTTTGTTATGAATATACGATTTCTAATTGTAATAATCTGTATATATTTATAGAATATTTGATTGGAATATTCTGAAATTAAGAATATTTGCACTCCAGAAGAATATTCATAGAACTGTACGTGCTATCTGGGCATCTTGCTGTGCATCTATGTTGTCTATCGTGCTGTTGTTTGTTGGCATTTGATGTTGGAAATGAAACATTTGCATGATGTAAACATTATGCTAGCATTAAGTGCTCGGTCGGATGTAATAGATACAACATGTGTATATTTGTTAGAAAATTGAATGCGACGTATGCTAACTCTTTGTTAACAGTATTCGATGTGTGCTCTCTTCAGCTGTGCACTCAATTACGACAATATGTTAATATTATGCTAGTTGCATTTAAATCACTCAAACATTGAATTCATATTCCCAGCGAAGAGCTAGCATCAGTTGCTGGCATTTAATTTCCATACATTGCTTGAGCATGCTGGCTATCTGGGTAGATAATCGAAATATCAAAGCCCGCACAAACACAAGTTTGCAAAGTTTCTTCGCTTGCATTTATAGTTCGCGAATCATAGGGGTCGATTATTATAAAGAAGAACGGGTATTAAAAATTGACTTCACTTAATCTCTCATAGAAATGTAACAACTGGGAACGAAAGAAGCACTGACCAATTACTAGAGTTCAATAATTGAATTACTAGAAATTACTGATGTACAGTAATTTTCTAGTAATTATTTCGCTTACATATTTCTATAAGGGACGGACTCGCGCATTTGATATATGTTAAAGTAAAAAAATCTGTAATGAAAAATCTACAGGAGGCTCGTGAATATTTTTATGCGTAGGAGTAAATTTAAAAAGTACGTAAATGAGAAACTTGTTATTTTTCTGTGAACACGCAAAACCAGTTTTCGGGGTAGAAGAATTTCAGTTTTTTAGTCGTCGCGGTAGAATATAAGAGGCAACGAGACATAAGAATTCTGTCTTGAAATCGACTTGAACATTATATTGAATAGCGAAAGAGCACGGCGTCTCGCGACGCGTTCTCCGCTAGATACGCTTCGAAGAATATTTGCATTAACAATAAATACAGGCCTTTATCGTTCGCTCCACAACTGTGTGCGTGTGTTATCTGTTACGCTTATTCTGCGCATGGAAAAATCTTACGTAACATCTCGATGACAAGGAGCGAAAATCGTTATGCGTATATTAAAAATGCTCGACCGCGGCGCACTATTTTCATGCACAGAGCTCGCACACTGAAACTATAAATATATCCTCATTGTGTCGGACTTCTTGTAACATTACGAAAGGAAGCACGGCTTGTGCGAAACGTATGATCGCGCACAACGTCCAGCATCCGACTTAAGATCCATTTGCACAACACTTGCAGTACGTATATTTTGTCTCAGAATATCACTCGAGCGTTTTTTTTTTGGACACTCCGCGTGCTCTTCGCGCGTGTCAACCGAACGAAAGTTTACCCAATTTCTATAAGGGACGGACTCGCGCATCTCTTGCAGAGTTCAAACACATCGAGAACGCGTTAAAAGGGAAAGACATTAAGATTTTCTACTTTACAAAAAAATTGATTGGTCTAAATTTATAATCTATGGCAGTATCGTTTCCGCTTCACGAATTACATTTCTGATTAGGGATTTGTGCTGACCGATATCTCCTAATCGGACACGATGACGGGTGAGAGATTGGACCTGGACAAACCCTTGTGGGATCAAAACACCTTCGCGGGAAGGTGGAAATACTTCGCGTGGATGACCGACTTCCGCACGTGCGTCAAACCAGAATCGGAGCTGCTGGCTGCTAAAAAGCTGTGCGAGCAGTACAGGTGATGAGAAATACACGTACACGCAATTTCTTTTTTTATTTTGGTAGACTCGCTGCGCATTGATCAGTCTGAAAATTTTTATCGCTGTCAACAATATCGAATATTCAATATGCAATATCGTCTAAATGTCTTGAATCAACTGGAAAGAAATTTGTGTTCAGCTTAAACTTCCATTAAACTGCAATTTGTTATTGGAAATAATAATGCAATAGTGGGATGCTGTACGCATTCGACTTTGTGTTCTCGGATTGCTTGAAAATGTTCGCCCCTCGTACCTTATAGAATTGGCAAAGAACCAGCCGGTACCACCAGAGAGCAAATTATCTACGCGAGGAAGCTGTATGAATCCGCCTTTCATCCCGACACCGGCGACCTGCAGAACGTATTCGGCAGAATGTCCTTCCAGGTGCCGGGAGGAATGGCCATTACCGGCGCTATGCTTCAATTTTACAGGTATTTCGCAGAGTTCAAGTCTCATTGGAAATTAAATCCCCTCCGTGCCACGTTCGTTGGAGGTCCTTTCGTTTCATCATATCTGTACTTCGAAGAAACCAGAAACGTTTTGTCGGCCAAGCAACAAGTGTATTAATTTCATTTATTTAATTTCAACTTTAATCAAATCTGATGTTCCTGTTAATCGAGTCCCAGCGAGTTTCGTGCCTCGTTTCAAAAACTTGTCGCACGGCCTAGAACAAGTTATCGCTTCATTTCTGACACGCTGCATACTAATTGTATTGATTCGATCTAGGACGACTCAGGCGGTAGTTTTTTGGCAATGGGTCAACCAGTCCTTCAACGCACTCGTCAATTACACCAACAGAAATGCTAACAGTCCTATAACGACCACTCAGCTAGGTGTAGCTTACGCTAGTGCTACCGTCGCGGCGATGATAACTGCGATAGGATGTAAATCGTATTGGGAAAGGCGTGCGAGTCCTCTAATGGCTGTAAGTTTTGCAAGAACACCTTAGAAATTACGTACAGCGTCCCAGATTTTGCATCAGTAACGAACGAGCCTTTCTTCTCGACGAAAGTATCAAAACGATCCTTTCTTTTTGAAGTAGTTTATTTTAATCTTAACAAGGTCGACTGTGTGCATTGGATTTTCTATTTCTGCAACACATTCCATATATTTTTTAAAATAAAGTATCCGAGACTCGTCCCGGATTGTTGAAAACCTAGATTACTGAATGTAAGAGACAAAAAAACATGTTTCAGAGGTACGTCCCGTTCGCTGCAGTGGCGGCCGCTAATTGCGCTAATATCCCTCTAATGAGACAGAACGAAATTGCGAACGGCGTGGATCTTATTGACGAGGACGGCAAAAAACTTACAAAGTCAAAGGTATACGTTATCTGTTGCTAGTGAATAATTTGTGCAATTTTACACATGTACACAACGCACGTACAATGATTAATTGGTATCTTATGAAATTAAATTTGTAAGACATGATGTAAAAATTTTGAGGTACGATTGTTGCAAATCTTATTGAACTTCATGCTAAATATAATTTTTTTAGTAAACGTTATTAAACGATTTCAGCTCGCAGCTGTGAAAGGAATCAGTCAAGTGGTCATTTCGAGAATCGTCATGTGCGCACCCGGCATGCGTATGTATCGAACAATCGATCGAAAATCTCTCTCTCTCTCTGTTTCGCAATTGAAATTACTTATTAAAATTTTCTACAAATTTATTCGCGTAGCGTTACATAAGAATACATTTAGTTAATTAAAACGATAATTAATTTCGGCAGTTATCCTACCGCCCATAATGGAAAGACTGGAGAAATACGCGTGGATGCAGAGAATCAAGCCACTGCACGCGCCGATACAAATTATGATGTGCGGAATTTCGTGAGTAGCACACCCTCTTCTATTTTATTTTTTGCCTACCTTATCGTTGTTATTACATTTTTATATTAATTATCACGTGAATTTTGTGTCAAACAGATTGACGTTTATGGTACCGACAGCGTGTGCACTATTCCCACAAAATTGGTAAGTAATGATTTTATATTCTACATTCGAAAAAAACTCTTCCTATATTTCATTTTTATTTGATTACGCGGTGCGTTTTGTAGCTCCGTCAAGGCGACTACTCTGCAGCGCTGGGAGCCGGAAAACTATGAGTTATTGAAGAAAAACTGCGAAGGTGGGAAACTACCGACGTATTTATATTTTAACAAGGGGTTATAATGTTATAAAAAGTTCTAATTTTATGAAACTCAAAATGTAAGTGTTACTCCATCCTTTATAATAATATCGTTGTTGAAGTGACACAGTAATGGTAAATTCTTCTGCTGGAACAGAGATGAACCCAAAATTAACATAACTTATTAGGTTAAAGTCAATTATTGTAATAGAAATTTCTTTTAATTTGTTGTTGAACATTTGTGCATAGCTCTTTTTATGATTTGAAATATTAAAGTTTGAACGTCGCAATATTCACAGGGTGATAAAATAAAATTCCGTCGGCACATGCTGATCTTACAATAAGAGACACGCTAATAGCGATGCAATAGAAACAATAGATTAGTAAAGGATGAAATGTCAACAGTATAAATTGATGTTTTTTCCAATTTACAATAATTACAAACTGTAGCAATAATTTTATTGCTTTAATTATAAGTGCTTAATTGTTCCTCTCAGGTGTTTTAACGTTAATTTATAAGTTCCACATGTTTTAAATACAACATTAATCAAACAGTGTACTTAATTACTTAACGTTATTATGTAAATTTCGAGAGGTCTACTTCGAAAGTAAAAATGCTGCCACACATAGTAATACGATAAGAAACTTTGCTACACACATAATTAATGAAAAAATAAATAATATCACGACAGTTGCGTCAATAAATGTTGTTCGATAATTGAATATTATTATTTTGCCTTTACGCCAGTTTGAACTATTTCTATCATTTCACCTTTCGAGAGTTCGGAAACTTCGCAAATCGAATGAAAAATCTAAAAACATGTTCATATGTGTACCAAACAGAATGTAAAATTACCTTTTTTTTATATTGACTACAATCCCTTGTTGTAATAAACTTTATTCGGATGTTTGCGCTGACCCATTTGCTCTCGAAATAACTCGTACTCCTCCGGATATATCTTCAACAGTTCCGGCTTCATCGAGCTTAATAGGGAAAATACGTTGCTATACGTTCCATATTTATAAGAGAATTAATTCTTTTATTCGAAAGTTTTCAGAATTAATTTAAACCCTTACTTTCTCTGCGGGAAAATGGCGAGCGCCGAAGGAATCATGACCAGCAAGCTGAGGAAGACGAGCGGAAAAAAGAAAGATGTCTATTAACATACCTGAGTTAAAGATTTTGTTATCAACACCCGCGTCATGGTTGCGCGGATCGGCGCAACATCAATTCGCGCAGTCAAGAATTACCAGAGCGTGCACAAGCCAATTTCGACGGGAAATGTGATCCACGGACGAAGTTGGTAGAAGCAGTACGATCGCATTCGTTGCGTGATGACCGGGATCATCAGCATTCCGGGCGCGGCCATTACTATCCTCGTGAGAATGCACTCGGAGATACCCTTGACGGCGGCCACCTGCGACTTCATGATGCACACCTCGTCACCGTTCTTGACGAATACGGGAATGCCCCGTGCGATCTCTCGTTGCCGCATGATCGGGAGATTCACCACGTTGCCAGCAGCCACCGCGCAAAACGGAACAAATCTCTGCAACAAAGATAATCCCTTGAACTCATCAATTTCCTCTTTGTATTGCGACTACAATTTTCCAATGTTTAAAATTGCAAATAGTAAAACTCGAAAGTCTCGAGGTCACAGGTTTCAAGTCTATAGAGTTTTATTAGTCGTTACTTTGAACGGAAGAGATTCGAGGAAGATTAAAAAACTTTTTGACTATGTCCATTGAACGTTTGTACGAGTGAAATAGGGAAAGAGCGTGAAGTCAGATTTATAGAATGAATTAACTGCCAAGAGAGTTCCTCTGGCGGAGAACAGCTTCCTGAATCCCAAAGCGGCAGCGCAACTCGCCGCGGTGGCAAGCACGAACGCCTGCCGGATAACGTCGGTGTCCTGCGGCTCGTCGCTCATCGCGTTTCGATTGGTGTAATTGACAAACGCGTTGAAGCCCTGATTAACCAGCTGGCAGGCTATCACGCCGAAGGCGGATCTGAACGGAAATATCGCTCACGATAGAAATAGAATCGAAATGGGAATCGATCGTGCGTGCGTGCGGGGCGGTAATTTATTTATTTGTGTAGAAAGTTAACTTGTAGAAGGTCAACATGGCGGCGGTGAGGGCGACGGAACCGGGCAGCTGGAAGGACATTCTCCCTATCACGTGCATGAGCTCGCCGTTATCGGGATGGAAGGCGCTGTCCCTGAGCTTCTTCGCGTAGACTATGTCCTTTCTCTGCAGGCCCTCCGGCTCCTTCCCGGCTCTGAGTAACAATCAAACGGTAAATAATAATGCATATTAATTTGGTAAACACGGATTATTTTTAGTAAATTATTATAATTGTATAATTATGCGGCGATCGTGGCGCAGAGAGATGTGCGCCGCTCTAAGAGCCAAAACTCGTTAGTTAATCGATCGCCACGTCTCGAAAGGGAGTCACTTGCCACGAGCATTTCTTTATTGAAAAAAATGACCAAAGAGGAAAAGACCTATGTAATAATTATATATTAGTTTTTTTAATAATTCTTATAATAAATTCGAGTTCTTCAAATTAAAATGCTAACATATTGATGTGAGAAGAGATTTGTAAAAAGGAGAAGAGCTTTATACCATTGTAACTTACTTGTAGTCCTCGCAGAGCTTTTTTGCTTCCCACAATGTCTTCGCCGGCACGAGTATCGTGCGGCAATCGGTGGTGAAGGCGTAATGCATCCATCTTCCGAGGTACGTGTCCTGGCTCCAAAGTGGCTTATCGACGTCAATCCTGCCTCCGGATTCACCTCCAAGATCGTCGTCCTTTCCCTTCATCGCCGGTCGCCCAACTAACAGCATATCCCTCGTTATTTGCCAACTCGAATTTACGATTAAAAATACTGGTGTAAGTAAAAGTATACGTACGCAGAAGGTACGATGTAATGCTGGTGAGATTGCGCTAAATAAATTTGCGGAATAGCTACGCTGACAGCTTTAGACGAATTGAAGATAAAAGGCGTGCAACGTCGATATGACTTCCAGCATTCTTTGCCTCATAACGTTGATTTATTGTGTTTAACGTAAATGACACTCTGTCACAACGGTATTTCGCAGTACATCGTGAGTTTACAATCGAAACCATCGACATGAAGAGATCAAACGTGCGTCCTCAATATCGCGCGTGGTAGAGAGAAAAAAAAAGGCAAGGCTGCTGGTTTCATTCTTTCACTCGTTGCTCTGACAACCGCTTGTACATATTTTCAAGACATACAGCAATATCAAATTAAAGTATTATCCGAAAATTAACTGCAAAAACAATTTCGTTATACCTATCCTTCCAATGTTTTACCAATGGGTGATTAAAATCTTCGATCGATTATAGAAAGATTGTTAAAAATTATTCTTGAAAGATATTTTGTCATCTCCGCTTTTATCGCGAAGAAGCCGAAAAAAAGATGTTCGTTAGAATAGTTTACACTATTATAGTATACTTTTGCATAAGATAAATGTATTACGCAATAATGTGCAATTCATAAACTCGATGAATATTCAAAACTTATTCTGAACAAATATTCCAAAGGCATTCTCGACGAATATTCTAAAAACGTTCTTCCCATACAGCACGCGTGTCTAAAAGGCGTCTTTAAGTCGTTTTTTTAGATATACATGTCTGAAAGAAGACTTAAAGACGTCTTAAAGATGCCTTTTAGACATACGTGTTGTTTGAGTTCTTTGTTATGAATATATGATTTCTAATTGTAATAATCTATATTTGCAGAATATTCGATTGGAATATTCTGAAATTAAGAATATTCATAGAATAATATGTGTGCTATCTGGGTATATTCGAATTTCACGACCGGTGCCTCGCAAGTGTCCCACACGAATGTAAACACAAACGCGGGCAGGTGAGCGACCGTGCCATTTATCGGCGAGATGCTCGCCAATTTCTAAAAGACACTGACGCGAGGCAGATCGTACCTGTCTCCTCTAGGATCCTCGGGAGTTCGCACGAGTTCGCGAGATGCGATAGTAAATTGCACGGGCGGCGTTAATCTTTATTGTTTCAAGTGTTAACGACGTCGTATTTCCATTAACATTATAGATCCTCTTCCGTTTAAGTTAACACAATGAACCTAGGAATAGATAATGACACGTTGATCCTGAATTTTCGTATCTTGCTGTTCGTGCTCGATATCGTAGGGCTGGTATGGTACCTTTCGATGCTGTGGGACGTTGAAGAGAATATCGACTTTTATAACCGAACCGATGTCCAAGAGGATCCGAGGGCATTGTGAGCGATTGGTGAGTGAATTTTAAATTGCTAATTTTACATACGTACACAAACGAAGCTCGAAGCACACATTATATCTCTAGCGAATCGTAAGAGAGAGAAGGGGGGCGGGAGAGAGAGACAGCAAATCAAGTTGTATTTACACCTGGCGGATCGGCGAACCGATTTATCGAAATAAACGTAGATGATTTATCTTCACATTTCTATCTCTGTACCCAGTGAGAAATGATTCGTCGATCGATGTCGAAACGATGTCAAATCGACGTCAATTTGACGGTGTCGATATCGACCGACGAGTCATCTCTCACTGGGTATAGTTTCCTTTACATACCAATATATGTACACTAAGAAAAGAGTCATTGAAAATTGATTCGTGGCATATAATGTTTATTTCACTGAAACAAATTTTCAAAGACTTTTTCTCAGTGTATATATATTCGCTGTAATTCCGCTGTCAAAATTGCTCTCCCAGAATCTGTTTAAACTAGAGTAGTTTCAGAAGAGACATTCCAGATAGCACAAGACACTCCTATGAACATTTTAAGAATATTCTCCAAAGAATATTTGATGTGTGCTATCTGAGATATGTTGCATCGTACGTTCGAATTACGTTGTCCGAATGTAGAATTAAGTGCAAACATGAATAAACAGATATACAAACGTTCTGCAGCTTCGTGACACTTTTATCAGCAAAGTGGTTGTTGGCAACAATTTTCGCCAATCTTCGGGAAATATTGATACGAAACAAACAGTGTCCTCTGGGATTTAACAAAGTATAAATCGCAGATTTGTCGATAAATTGCACGCTTAGTCTAGTGTTAACGCCGTTAGGGTAAGCTTTAATTTGAGAGATTAAACCGATAAGATGTGGATTATTGAGATTTGGATTTGGATATTCCAAGTCGGCCTGCTGAGTTTAATGATTCTTGAAGACTTTGAAGACATCGTAAATTTCGTACCACTTTCTCTGACGACATTCTTTACATCTATGATATTATTTTACTATAACACTTTAAATATAACGAAACAGAATGTATATAATAATATGACTGATATGCCCTATGACTAATTATCTGGGGAAGTTTGTAAAAAAAGTTCTAAATATTCGGTGAGTACATCTTGAATTGATTATACTTTCATGGACGCGAATAAAATTTGACTCATACTTTGTCAGTGTTCGGTAAACTATATAATAATTACGGAAGAATAGAAATTAGATGAGATTATTTTAAATTGTTAATATTAAAATAAGTTAATCAATCCAAACAAATAATATGATTCATTCCGGCAATTATACTTTGTTCTTACTTTATTATAATTAAACATTTGTTCAGTTGAAAAAAATGAATATTTGTGTAGGGATTGTGATGGGATTTCAAATAGACGATTGCTGTGTATTTAAATTTTACAATCCGATACCTCAAACAGAATTCGCAAATATATGTAAAACACAAATGCGAATCGAAGATTATTACATGGATTGTAGGACAAGTTTATTTTCCAAAATGTATCAAAATAATATTGCGCAGCTCTTGGCAAAATTATCTTTAGTTTTCAAGAAACATGGACGTGAGAGAAAATGCATCTCAAAAGCCTTCAGAGTCACTGATTGCTACTGTTAGTTACGATATTAACCGTCATTGGAACCTCTCGATAACTTGAAATAATAAATATGGACGATAGTAAAATACGACAATGCTTGTATGTTCTTGATCATACGTACAGTTCTTTATTAACTGATAATTGGAGCAGTTTTTAATAAGTGACATGGAAGTGATTTTAAAAATCTCGTAACACTTCTTAAATGACCGGTGAGTGAATCTTTTGAGTTGATATATTTTCTTATATGAGAAAAGAAATTCTAACGTATTTTGACTGCGGAAAAACTTATTGCAAAAAGATAGAAGATTAAACGCTACTGTACGTATAAGTCTAAATTGTACTCTATACAAGTATGTATGTACACTAGGAATCACCGATGGCTTCCCACATAAATTTGTGCACATATCGATACATTTATACATTTTGCATATACACACATGAATAATGTATATGTGTTCTACCTGTGCTTAAATTCATATAGAAAGGCATTAGAGATTCCTAGTGTACATAAATACCGAAACGGCCAATTAATTAAAACAAGTGCGATCTTTTAAGTTTGTCCCTTTGCCTCGACTCGTTCATCGTTTATACCAACTCGTTTCTTCTTTCGAAATCGGTAGATACTCTCTTAAATGTTAAATAGATTAGTTTCGAGAAGCTGCAGTCAGAATTTCGCGTTCAGTATCTCAAGGTAATCGGCATCGGTAAGATGCTCGCTAATTTTTGGAAAATATTAACGCGAGGCAAATCTGTTTTCTAGGATTCGCCAAAGTTCGTTAATCGAATAGTTGTAATAATGAATCACGTACATTATGTACTCGTACAGCACACAAATGTTGAATCAACAGCTCAGAAATGTTCCATTACAACATTACAATATTGCATCAATGTTACGAAATGTAGATTCAACGTTGGAGAGATATTGCAAAAACGTCTAATGTCCGCCGAATTGTAATGTCTTGTAAACGTTACAGTTTAGCATTCAGAAAACATTGTTAAATTATATGAAGTTAACATTGGTCACGTTTAACAGAATATTTTTTCCAACTGTTGGAAGTGCTCAAATAGAATTATTCCACTAAAATAATAATCCGATCTTAGCTCAGAAAGTTTCTGGCCGTTGCAAAAATATTATATATATATATATATATTATATATTATATATATACACACATTTCACTCAACATTGCAACGTTTCAGCAACATTACTTTAACTTCATGTGCTGTATGGGGTATCAATATGACGTGAGACGTATATAGTTCAGCTATGTACGTCAACTTATTATGGACGTGAAATGTATGGAGTTACTCGAGTTCTTAAAGTACGCTCTTGGCATTCTTTGCTAATACGGAAAATTTCTTAAACAAGCAGGACAACTAAACAAGAAGAAGTCTTTGAAAAAATCTCTGACCAGTGAATTAAATCTTTGATAATTTTTACGGGACAGAATCTGAAGTGTGTGTTGAATACACTCCTAGCGGAAAAATTGGAGATTTGAACAAATTTAAAGAAAAATCGGTATAAACGAGAATAAAAAAGTGAAAATTACCGATTATTTATGACAGCAAGCATTCATGTCGGCAGTTTATTTCATTTGTTAATACCGTTCTGCGCAATACGGAGCCCACTGCAAACTCTTAAATTTCCGCTAGAGCAAATTTCATGGAACATTCGAAATAAAATTCTGTATCAACGTTATCTCAAGTACAATGACCGAACTATAAATCTTCTCATTAAATACAATTTCACGTATTATGTTCATTTTTTTATACATAGATAAAAGTCGGAACATTTTTGCATAACATAGACTTTTACAACTTTGCAATACTGCAGAACTAAAAATCACGAAGATGGCCCCTTGATTCCTTATTGCACAACTGCATCCAATTTATTTATCGACTTTCAAACCGTTCTGTTTATAAAATTTCGATATTTTAGAAATTGTTAAAAACCTTTTTACAACTGTTTCTGTTCGCGCACGTGAATTTCGCATCCGATGTCCTGAAATAATGGAAACCCAGGAAAAAATTTTTAATATGATATTATATGAAGAACTTTTCATCACATACAAAATGTCCACATTTTTTCTTTCTCTTATATAAGATATAATAATTTGTTCGCATCAGTTCGTATACCAGAAAAATAATAAGAATTAAAAAATTTAGAAAAATAGCTTCTGCATTGTTCTTTTTAGAAAAGGATATATTTTATATATGAATAATTTTTTCCTGGGAATAGAAGTACTAGAAATGTAGAGGTAATAGAAATGTAAGAAACAAAAGAAATTTAAATGTAAACTTGGAGACAGGTACAAATCCCGTAATAGAATCGAGGCTGTTATTGGCGAGAAAATAAATATTTTGAGAAATATTGACACAAAATAGATCCTCTTTGTCCAACAAACTCTGTCCGAAAGTCGGCAGTCACGATAAAACATCAGTCGCGCGCTTAGTGAGCACCGTTAACAATCTAAGTATCATAAATTCACGTTTTTCGATAACTCGAGACAATAAAAATACGGGATGAAATCAGGTATAAAGTCTCTAATGTACTTTATTGTACACTTTTCCATCTTTATAATCTTTGCCGTTATCGGAACTGCTGTTTTCTTGCCACGTTATATCGTTTCTCAAATATACACCATAATAAGACGTATGTTTGAAGGCAGAACTCAAAATAAGCCTAGCTAGCCGTGAGCGACGAGGATCCCAAGATTTCTAAGCGGCCGTAAGTAAACCTTAATATTCTCTCGAACGAAACGAAGTTGTGTGTGTTACAGTATTATATTAGCATTCGTTAATTCGAAATATTTGATAATTTGAAGCAATAGCCAAATGACCAATAACGAAATGGATAAAAAGTATATTTTTATACTTTATACTTCATACTTTATACGACATAAGAAGATTTAGATATCATTATTGTTTTCTTGTTCGTACTGTATATCTTAAAGCAAGATTGGTTTTGGCCGTGCCTTTAGCGTTTGATGGTTGGTTTGAACGATTACACTTTGGGGTGAACGACTTAAATTCATGTTAAAAAAATATAACTAGAAATAGTTGAAGGGGATTAAACAGCTTCCAAACAATTGGTAAGTTAATCTCGAATTCATATCTTCATGCAGGACATGAAGTTCAGAGCGTTCACATTCAAATCGAATAACATTTGTAGCGAGAGACTGAAAAGGGATTAAAGATAAAACAGATTCGAATTGTGTTTGAAGATAAGATCTAGTCCTATACAGCACAGAACCTCCGTTTCCGAAGTTGTTTCTGAAACGTCAGGATGCTCCCGAAGCTTTTATGCTGTATGGAGTCGGGAGAAACGCGACTATCTCGACAGTGACATTCTTCTCAGCGCATTTACTTTATTTGTTCGTTAATCCGCTATTGATATTTCGTTTTCGAAAATCGATACTCCCGAAATTCACTTGGATAAGAAACAGCAGCCGCCAGGCCTTCTATACTCGCGTTCGGGTTCAAATATTAAAACGATGAAAACGTAATAAATATATACGCGACCGCTTCGAAATGTAGCATATCGCTTTTACCGAGACGTTTCCCAATCTCGGGGAAACCTTCGCGTGATCGAGTCACAGTAATAAATCGCGCGTGCAGTGAGTGTTGTGTTAATTAGAAAATAATGACGAATAATGATGCCACTAATAATAGCGAAACGGGGCCCTGCTTGAGCGAAATGGGTGTGATTCTCATTTTTAACCGTCGTGACCGTCCTCTTGCTGTTTTTCTGTTTTCAATTAATGTGAGAATCGTAAAGGACGAGACACTAGGCTCTTGTTTTAAATTACACATCTACGTCTTCGAGGACGACTTAAGGATCGAGGAATACTTGAAAAAAAATTCCCAAGCGGTCGTAAGTAAATCTTGAACCGATTTTCCTGTGTGACATGCAGCGCGTATAAAATTTGCATGCAGCAATTTTGCAGTGGAAAAGAGATAACTAGATAAATTGGAAAATAAATTGCGGACTCATTAGTAGCGGCTTTTCGACGAAAATGTGATTCTTTATGTCAGCGACCGTCCATCCCTGTAGCATGATTCGCTTTATATATTCATTCGTTACACTTTCGCCTTTTAATTCGATTAGAAGCTCTCAGCTATCAGGTTCATTTAAACAGGAGTTGCTCGAAACAGCAGTTCTTGCGTGAGAATTCGTATTTCTCGAACGAGAAACAAAACTAAACATGGAACACGATCATTTTGAAATGTTACCAAGCGACAGGACGCTAGCCGACATCGAGAAAATATTTGTTCACTGAGATTCCTCGAGAATCACGTGATTCAGTCACCGATTAGCATAATAAATTATGTGAATGGTGTCGATTAACATAGCATAAAATCTGTGACGATAAAATGGAGCTAGCAATATTAATCGTAGACATCTACTATTACTTCCGTAATTACATTTATGGTTCTTTGCTGTTTAATATTTTGAGGAAGGGGACTGCTGTAATGAGACTTAGAGTCGGCTTCGGGATTAACGTAACCGTAGTTTGTCGAGGAGAGCCGGAAAGAGCGCGTAATCGTAGGTGAATCTTAAATTAGTATCTTCATGCGTGAAGTAAAATTCAAAACGTGCATTACATTGCATCTCACTTCGCGATGAGAGACGGAAAATTAAGATAAACGAAAGACAAAACAAATTTTCGAATTGCATTTGTGGATACCGAAAATGGTGGTGAACTAGCTGAGAAAAATATGACCATTCGTTTTGGCAACGTTCGCCTCACTGCACAGATAATTTTTATTTATACACCAATTCGCTACAATTCTCCCTTCGAAATTAGTAGAATTCAATTATAAAGTGGCTTCGCGAAAGAGTAAGTCGTTATCCTCAGATAAATTCGATCGTTAGTTTCGTTCGGGTTTCCTTTATCAAAAAAGTAAATTCTTCACTTTCAATGTTAAATACTGAAGGTCCAAATTTTACACAAAATTAAGTTTCTATTAAACTAAGGCTCATCTAAAATTACTTAAAAAAGGATCTTCTTTACTTATTTACAGCCTAATTTGTTGGCCTAAATGTTCTCTATTAAATACCTAATACCTAAATCTAAGTTTTTGAAGAGAAGCAGTTCAATTTCAAACTCGTCGAAGAATGCACTATAACGATTCTCGTATATTCCGAATAACCTTCTATTCACTTCTTCCCGTTTCCCTTATTGCTCGGAGATAACGGCAGTATGCAAAACGCGTTGAGATGTTAACGAAATCTTACGATTTGTTATATCCGTTAGATGCACTTCGAGATTTTGATAGAATAACATTGTCGTTCTCGCGTATGCTCGGTCAGTTGCGAAAAAAGAAGACCTCGAGTCAAGATGACGACTTGAAACAGCACATTGAAAAAGTTATACAAAATCAGAGCTAACAACGACTTTCTAACTAAGTCGATACTTGACGGACAGTGTCTAAGAGGTAGTAGCAGCGATGCTTTCTTAATGTGGTCAACATGGTTCTTCAACTTCTTCTTCTCCTTCTCCCTCTCACCTAATCAGTTCTTCCGTCCGCCACGTCTCTTCATCGAGGACGTACACTGCGGGCAGTACCACTTCCCCTTGGGTGGCGCGGTGATGCCCACGCATGGATAATGGAACCATTCAAAGGGGCACTAAAAGCAATCGTTATAAGGCTATCCGCTTGTAATTTATTTTGAAGATGTCGACGAGCCTTACGTCTGAATTGTCACAGGCGACCATGTCGCCGTATGACACTTGATTGCATATGCAATAGCGCGGCTCGTTTGGATCGTACGTCCACTCCGGATTGTCCGGGTCCACTACTTGCGTGGTTGTGGTAACCACCGGTGGTGACACGGGTTGTTGCACCGTAGGTGCAATCACGCTCGAACTCGGCACAGTGGCTACTTTCCTACAATTCGTAACAATGTGTTATTCACCGCACAGGACATTCTTTCACGATGTGAAATAAAAATTATACAGCACCCCCAATTTAACAGAGATTTCAAATCTAATATCTACGGCTATCCAACTGCATAGTCTCTTAATTAAAAAAACATCTAAAAAAGTATCTGGTTCAATATACCTGATCTGTAATCTAAATTATTTCCATAAAGAGACCCGATAAGAGACAATATTTAGTGTCTTCTTCTTACACGTACTTTTTATGCTTTTTCGTGGTCTCCTGTATGGCAGCGATGGCGGTTTGCGCCGCGCCAGCGAGTTCCCTGCTGAATTCCGCGGCGTGAACGCCGCCGGTGTTGATGGCCTCGTAGCTCGCCTTTAGACTGGCCGAGCGTCTACCCTGCTGCATCGATTGCGTAGCCGCGATCGCCTGTGACGCGGCTGCTGCGATGGCGTTACCACCGGCGCCGATATGGCCGAGATTATAGCACACCGAGCCCACAGAATTGGCAATCGCTGCCGGCGCCGGCGCGACACTACTCGTCGCGATAATAGGCGTTGAATTCGCTGACGCAGGTCGTGACTCCGGCAGACTCGTCGTCGCCGGCAGCTTCTCGATTGCCAGCCTCTTCTCCACCGACGTGGAGGATGCGTTCGAGTCCCGTCGCTTCTCCGATCGAGCTGATATTCGTGTAAAATTTGAAGATTATACTCATCTAAAGATTGTTATTGCGATTCTAAAATAAGTTTATAATTAACGAATTTTACAGAGTATCCCGCGGTATTCCCGCTCATGCGAGTTTAACATTAACGCACTTTCAATTGATAACGTATCGTCTTGAAGTTGAAAGCCATTAGAGTAAAATGTAAATAAAAAATTGGCATTATTAGGGACGTTATACTAACAATGGCTATGATTATCTCGTGTTCTGCTCGGCGTAAAACTGTAACGATTTTCTTTTTGGCTACTATTCGTGGGCGGCTGGTCCAACTCCAGCGATCTCTTCTCCAGGACCTCGGTGATGCCCTTATTGTCCGCCTCCAGTTCCATCTTGAACTTGTGCAGCTCCTGATCGAGCCTCCTCAGGTACCTGTCCACCAAGTCGTACATCTGATTGGCTAGGTGCACCTTCTCGTCAGCGTCTTCCAGAGTCTTGTAGTACTCCTTCCTGATAGCCTCGTACTCCGCCTCCTTCTCGCTGGGCTTCATCTTCTTGGCGTTGGAGAAGAACGTCTTCACCTTCTTCTCCAGGCTATCCATGGAATCTGCGAGTAGACTTGGCATTAGTTTTACACCGCTTACTCGCGCCCTATTGGCTTTAACTGTTACGTCCACGCACTTTGTACACCTAGATCCATCTCCCTCATCTCGGTGAATCGATCCCTCAGCTCTTGTGGAAGATGCTCGATCACTGAAACCATCGGACGGCCATCAGCAAAGAGGTCATCGCTAACTTTTAAACCTTCCCTTACGTATTATTTCTGTCAATTCTTTGTATCATATTCCTGATCGTTGTGGTCAATACAACGAGCTCTTCGATCTCTATGCGACTCGGCATCAAATCCTATCTCATTTACTTCGCTACACGATTTTCCCTCAATTTCGTTAACTTCCGATCGTTCGTACGCGGCAAACAAATATGAAGCCAATAGAAAAATCGGTACATCTTATTACTATTCGTTCTCACGTTATATCGACAAAAAAATTGCTTCGTACATCGGAGCTACATGACTCCAGAAGAAGGAGATTTTTAATCAACTTCCAATCGATTCAGGAGAGACCCGAGGAGAATGAAATTCAACGTCGCGCGCGGATTCGAATGACAATTCATTAAATCCCTCTCGGCGACGGCAACGTGCGCCTCGCCGACGGGGCGCCGCGCGCCTAACCTCTCGACGCGGGGTCGCGCCGCTGCCGCCCCCGGCCCCGCCCCCGCGTCCCGTCGCATCTCGCGGCGATCGCGACGGACGGGTCGCGATCGGCGCGCAGAAGGAGGCGCGGGCCGCGGAACGTAAACAAAAATGGCTGCGTTCGCCGCGGGCCCGCGCGGGCGAGTCGGGCCGCGGGGCGTTCTAGGTTAGCCGCGCGCCCACGACGCGGAGGTTAGGATCCCGCGGGCGAGCCGTGCGCACCGCCTCTCGTACGCACTTTCGACGTAATCCTCGAGGTAGAGCATCTTCCCGCGCCGCCGATCGCCCGTGATTGGTATAGTTGACTAGTAGCCGCCGCACGACGCCGGGTAGCCGCAGAACAAGGCGGGATCTCGCAGGGAGACGCGCCGCCCGACCGAAAACGTGCCCGCGCGCGTCCGACCACTCCGCATCGGCATTTTCGGGGCGCCTTCGGCGCGCCCTCGGCGCCCTCGAGCCCGCCGCTCGGTGCGCGTACGACCGGGATCTCGGGGAGGTGCGCGACCGCCGCTGCGACGAGGCTCGCCGAGCGGATAACGCGCCTCGGGCGGGGCGGCCTTTTTGGCTCGGGATTATTTGGGAGAGCATCGTCGCGTACCTCGCCATATTGCGCGAAGGACGCCAGGGACGTAGCGAGAGGAGCCCCTTCGGAGGGTTCGTGCTCCCTCGATCGCCGCCCGGGATCTCTCGGATCGTCCGCTCGTGCGCTTCGTTTTCGAGCGCTCGCAGCCTCGGCGGAAATTGCGCGCCGCTAATTGTCATCGGGAAAGACGGGGGGTTTTTCCCCACTCGGCCCCGCGCGATTGATCCTTTTCAACTTGTACTTTACTAAGTTTTTTTCTCTCTCTCTCTCGAATCGACCCTCGGGAGTCGCGTACGCTCGCTTAAATTTTGGGGAAGATCCACGTTGCGTTAAAAAAAAAAATATGTTGGGCTTTTTTCTCTTTTTCAGCGCGATGATACGACGAAGCCCAACTCGCATAGAAATGCGTCTGGACGACCTGCAGGTGTACGAGGAAATAAGAAAGGCGCACGAGTCGAAGAAGGATCCCGAGAGGAAGGCATCGTCCATGAATCCACCCGCGTGGGGCGACAAGATCCCTCAGAGCGAGATTCAGGAGCGCATCGGTTACGTGCCGCAACACCCGTCCGCGCACAATCGAGCCACGACATAATAAATATCGACACGGGATTGCGAGCCGTAGCGCGAAGAAACGGCAACCGAATTATGCCACAGTATACAATAACAGATTGATCTTAAACCCACTCGTACAAAATACGACATATGTGAACCCGCCATTTCTTTTTATGTAACAAATTCATTCTTGGTGATTAACCGCGCACCGGTTATGATTGAGAAGTCATAATCCTGTAACGAGGACAGTTTTTACAATGTGACGCCACTTTTATTTACAAAATGTAATCGCTATACGTGAAATATACAAAGTTAATGGACGAGATCCACGTTCTTCTTCTTCTTTTTCTTCATCGGCATTGGTCCTGGCATCTTGAATACCGTGCTTAAAAAAAAAGTTTCAATAATTATCGTTTAATAAAATGGATATACATAGTATAATTAATGTATAGAGGTGACATTTTGATGTTATCTTTATATGCAAAATATCGCAAAATGCCCCAGGAACGTTTTTAATGTCGTTTCTTTACATTTTGGAGTCCCCAACTTCGTTTTTACACGTTTTTAAGACGCAAAATAACGTCAAAAATCGCATTTTTCTTAGTAAACATTTTTAAAGTCAATGTTATATCCTAAACCAAAGAGATTTATGCCTAAGACTATTTTTGTTTACTCTTTTTTTAGACATGTTACTGCTTTTATAGCCTGAAAATGATAATTTCAGTAATTTGTCCCATGCTATTAAAATATTATGTTTTTTTTAACATACGTTTAGCTTTAATAAATGTCGTAAACTGTTCTATCGAAACATTAAGGCCCGGTTTCACCAACGTTGTTTAGCTCAATTCGTTCTTTGTCTCTTTCCAACTGTTACTTTAGAAAGAGGCAAACTAATTGTAAGTTTAAAGTTAAGCGACGTTGGTAAAACCGGGCCTAAGTCGTCTTATTGATGCCCTGCCCACGGCATTGTCGAAAATATTAGCAAAATAATGCAAAATCCGGAAAAACAAAACGCAAAAGATGCCAAGAAATAACATCAAAGTGTCACACCTCTATTAATGTATTATGAAAATACTCACTGACAAGTCGTGCATATCGGACTGAATTTGCAGAAGACTGTAAAAAAGATAATAGATACTTTTTTAACATGAAGTTAAACAATACTTAACATTGTTTAAATGTTTCTTTTTACATTCATATTGATTGAAATTTCGTAATGACTGAAACTGACTCTTGATATTATTAATTACATGCAACTTGTAGCAAGACCTACTTGACAAACATATGGAACAGACATATCCAATATCGATAAGTTCCTGGTGGCAAAAGCACGCTGCCCTGTAATCCACCTTCACCGGCGGAGGAAGAACTAATTTCGACCTAACGCTAGGATCCGGCAGAAACACCCACTAAATCATTTTAAAAAAGTAGGAATAAATCGCGGTGTACATGATAATCTCATTTGCATCAGTTGCAATGAACTTAAGCAACGAACGACTCACTAGTAAATACTGCAGCAATCCAGGAAGCTGCGGCACCTTCAGGTAGTTGCCGCCGCTGATGTCGCAGCCCTGCTGCAAGAGCGTCAGCTCCTGATCCAGACTGCATACATCCAAAATAACATTCTGAAAGTAGCCAGATCTCTTTGCGTTACGAATCCTCGATTCCGTTGTTACAATTAAAAAAAGAAGAAGAAAGCGAATAGAGACAGAAACCATTCTCTGCGCGGTGAAGAATATGTTCATGTAGTTCATGTACTGAGTGGCCGAGTCGTTGCTGGCGGTGATCACCAGTATTCTGGGGTGCAGCTTCTGGCTGGGGACCTTCTCTCGCTCCAACCGGGCGATGTAGCACAACGCCATACTGAGCGCGCCGGAGATGAGGCTCTCCGTGCTCAACGGGACATCCATGGGGATCTCATTGATGACCTGCTGCAACTGCTGACGCACCATGCGCTCCACCATGGTAAACTTCTCATACTGCCCGTCCATCTGTCTGATCTCCACCACGTTCTCGCAAGGATAGAGGAACTTGGCGCTGTGGCTGTGACACGCCATTATCGCCAGTTCGTTATTGGACGATTGCATAAGATGAGCATTGGCGAAGACGATCGTGGAGTCTAAACATTGCGACAGTATCTTCGTCTCCTGCTTCACTATCCGCTGCATTGGATTAACGTCCAGGACGATCACCAGCAGGCTCGTCTCTATTTCTGCAGATGTACACAAGATGTGGATGAGTAAACAGAGCTCGGACACTTAAACAATTGGATCTCGACAAACATTAGGCGAATTGGTGACGATTGTCTGGCACATACACCGCGCATACATATACAAAGTGTACCGTGTACACTCGGCGTCACGAATGCTGTTACACCCAAAAATAACCAACAATTCAATTTATTAACAAATTAATATTTAATAAATCATTTTATTAAAATAAATTTTCCCATTGGATATCTTCGGCCTCTCTTTCTTCAGGCGTAAAGGCATGGCATGACGCTGAATGTACGCTCTGGTAACACTTTGGTATATGTACACTAGAAACCGCTGATGCCTTCCCATGTAAATTTAGGCACAGGTAGAACGCATACATTTTCCACGCAATATGTATAAATGTGTCGATGTGCACAAATTCACGAATGGAAAGGCATCAGCGATTCCTAGTGCACCAGTCGCTAAAAATCGCCTATCAGCTCTTGTATATGAACGTTAATGTACCAGACGTCATTTTGCTGGAACTCCTTCTCCTTCTAAGTAACTTGATTTTCAACTAGAAAATCTGTTTATTTTAATCATGAAATCTTTTTCAACATTCTGTTACTTATTCTA